CGTGCACCTCATTTAGTACGGTCGGTAACCGTGCCCATGCCTGCTCCGCCCGCTGAGCCCCCCTCACCAAGACTAACGCGTACTCGCACGACGCCCAATCGAGCACACTACGAGAAGAATCGCAGTCGATCGAGACAGGCGTCTGGCGGGTCGTCTAGACCGACATCATCTAAGGGCACACAGGATTCTAACAATCCTAGTGAGCGCGAAGTCAGGAAGATGAAGAGCGCGGGTGAATTGCGGCGGAATCACCCCCAGTTGCCACAACCCCCCTCCAAGTCTGCGGCCCCGTCACCTCAGCGAGTAGCCATGTCGGAATACGTTACATCCGCGTCAAGTTCCAATTTATTGGATGTCGCCACTTCCCGTGATAGCCAGGTTTTGCCGAAGCGTTTTGCCAGTCTTGGTGTGGCCGCTGGTCCATCGTCTCCCAATCATAGCCGGCCAAGGCTGACGATGGACAATAGCTTTTGGGATAGTACGCCCGGTGAGGAGGACGGTGAAGAGGATGTTCTTGGTAAGCCAATGCCTAGGAGGGCAACTCTGTCGCGAGACCACCCACAGGCACCACAAATAGATCAAGACAATGCCCTTGCCCAGCTCCCGTCTCCACCTCCGAAGGATGAGAAAGACAAGAGTCGCCGCTGGGGGTTCTTGAAGAAGATGTCGATGGGAAAGATGCGGACAGACTCATCACCGAGAGTACCATCGACCGGTCGGTCCCCAGGTCCTCCCTATCGACAGACTCTGTCTAGGGCGCCGTCCATGACGGGAACGGCGCCAGGAGTTCCGCAAATTGACGTTCGCATTTCGACCACTGGAGCGTTGCTGAATGCCGCCAACCATTCCCTTCCACCGATACCGTCGGATGCACCTCTTCCGGTCTTGACAGAAGCCCCCTCACCGCCACCACCGCAAGTACCGGAGAAGCCATACTTGGACGCGCTGAAAATGCCGTCATCACCTTCCAATCTCTTAGCTCCTACGCCAACTCCCCGAGCTACGAAACGCAGGAGTTTCTTACCGATAGACATGTCTCCCATTCCCATTCCAACCCCATCGACATTTGTTCGTGATGTTGTTGCTTCAGGAAGCAGCGAAGATCTGGAAGAGGTTCACAAACCGGCCCTCGATCCTGTTGTTCTGCAGAAGGAAGCCCTGGAGCAGATGCAGCGGCGGGAAGAAGAGAGGATCCACGAGGCTCGTGTTCGCGCGCTGCGTTCGGTCATGGCGTACCTCCGCGATATGCATGACCTTGGATTGACGTATGCCAACGTTACTCCTGTGGATCCACTGGGTGGTATACGATCACGGCGTCCCACCGTAGTCGAGAGCCGACTTCCGTCAGACACTTCCCTAGGGTCTGTGGTCTCTGTTTCATCTACTCCGTCTCGGCCTGGTTCCACGGCTCAGTTGCGATCTTCCGAGTCTTGGTCAGGCCTACGCACTGGTAGCACTACGCAGACAAACAGTGTTGCCACGACGGACAGTAGCGGATCTGGAGAAGAGCGGAAGCACAAAGATGATAGAGGAAAACGGTCTAAGATCATCCGCGAAATCGTCGAGTATGTACTCGATTTTTTCTTGAATCGTTTCTCTGTCCCCTTATTAATTTTCTGCAGGACCGAACGAACATATGTCAAAGGCCTTCAAGAGCTGGTGGATATTTACATTGATCCTGCGGCTGCGACTGTATCTGGCCTCGGTAACGTTGGCCAAAAGCAGGAGACCGTTGTGCCCGCTGCCGAGCGTAAGGTCGTGTTCAGTGGGCTGGAAGCTCTGTTTAGATTCCACAAGGATAGCTTCTTGCCGGCATTGGAAAGAGCATCTGCTTCTCTTTTAGTCTCGTCTGAAGAACTGGCCGCGAAGGATGCTGATGGCTACCTGTCCTTGGACGTAGCTATGAAAGTTGCCCAGATTTTTGTCTCGCATGCAGCGTTCATGAAGATGTATTCAACTTATATAAAGTAAGCTTCGCCCGTGTTCCCGATTTGAATCGGCTGACCATTCCGTTCCAAAGCAACTTTGACAATTCTGTGCAGAGGATCAAAATGTGGACGTTAGACAGGCCGCCGACGTCGTCCGGACAGACACTCTCGCCTTCGTCAAGTAGTGCCCAGCTTGCGGGTTTAGGGATCTCGATGTCGAGTATCAGCGTTCCCGGTGCTCTGCAGGACAGTGCTGCCATTCAAGCAAGCACGGCGGTATTGACATCGAGTCAACGGAAACGCATCAAAAACTATTTAAAGCGGTGTCGCCTTAACCCTCGTCACTCGCAGTTGAATCTGGAAGGATATCTTCTTCTGCCAGTTCAACGTATCCCCCGCTATCGCCTGCTGGTAGGTCTTTGACGCACGCGTGTGGTGGAAGGATTGCTTACCAGTGTAACAGCTAGAAGAGCTTGTCAGGAGTAGCCCTCCCATGTACGACTATGTGGACGATCCTCTGGAGCGGGCACTGGCGGAGATTTCTTCGCTAGCCAACAACATGAACGAAGGCAAGCGTGAGTCAGAGTCTCGGAGACGGCTTGTGCAGTGGCAGGCGCGGATTCGGGGCAAGTTTCCGAGTCCTCTCGTTCAGCCACATCGGTCAGTGGTGCCACACTATTTGAGATAGACAGAGATCTCATGTCCTCTTAGACGACTGATCATGGATGGACCTCTGCATCTGACCCGAGTTGTCCGAAAGGCAACAGTGTCCTTTGAAGTGATCGATGCCCAGGGAGATACTTCTGAAGTCCAAGTAGAATGCTTGTCACCTGAGCTGACTCCTCGCTCCTTGATCGGCATTTTATGCAACGACCTTCTAGTGTTATGCCGAGACCCATCTGAAGGGCAGGATCCCGGTTGTGCGGTGGATCTATGGGCCGTGCTACGAATGCAAACATTGCCCCAGCCAGCAAGTATTGTCCATGGCAATGGTCAGATGCCTTCGCTACCTCCTGTCAGAAAGCGCGCATTTCTAACCGTCTCATATAGCCCTTCGTTTAGTGGACAACAAGGCGATCTTATATTTTGATGCACCGTCAACATCTGACGCACTGACATGGTTTAGAGGTAATGTTGCCGCCCCCATTGGTTGCGAAGATGAATTCTAATGGTGGGACTCGCGAATAGCCATCAACCTTCACATTCCCGCTTCAAAAGCATAGTGGCTTTTTGTAAAACCTGTTATGATACCACCCAGTTGTCACATTTCTTCGTTGCACTAACCAGTTGCGTTGTGGTTTGCTCCTAATTTGGATCCATCTGTCTGTCGCTTCGTTCCCATCTACGACGTTCTTTCACTGTATTCCTGACATCATGGCCGACTCTTGTGTTCGTATTCTAGGCATTGCACTATATTGCATGACCCATGGCGTCTCGCGTTGTTACCGCAGTAGAGTAGAGAATGTACATGGGCTGGCATCTAATCAAAGCGGAACTTGCCCCCAATGTCGAGTCAGAGATTATCTCATCGGCGGCTTATCTGATAACTCAGCGGAGCTGGTGACGCTGTCGGTCCGGCACGACTTGCTCTCGCATCCTCGCGGCCGAACATAAAACCCCGTCGACTTCACCCTCATCTCCGTCTGGCCAGCCCTCCGACGTCCTCTTCATCCTACGGACGGATTCCTGATAGATCAACGCTCTAGACATGGACCCCACCTACGCGAAAATGGTCGCTGCCATGACCGGCTCGACCCTTACCGCTCTTACGAGTGAGTGTTGTTACCTCTCAGCCGTCTCGACTCTAACGACAGTGCCAGTGACCCCGTTTGACGTGGTAAAGACGAGGCTGCAGACACAACCGCCAGCAGTACGCCAGCCCCTCTTTCCTGCACCACCGGCGAACATGTGTTGCCAGCCCTCCAAATCAATGCCCTGCGTACGCCGAATGTCTTCATTGGCACCGGCGTTAGAAGGGCAGACCGTATGCGTGTGGGATCATGGTGTTATGCGCACCGAGAGAATAACGGGCTTTCTTGATGCTGTTCGGCATGTTATGCGGGCGGAGGGCGTGCTGGGACTGTGGAAGGGCGCGGGGACAACGTTGTGAGCGCATTCCTGGCTGCGAGCCTCTGATTTTGTCTCACGTCTCTTTGCACAGAGTCATGGTCATTCCATCTGCCTCGTCCTACATGCTTGCCTACGACCACCTACTGAATGTCACCCTGCCGCCCCTCCTCCCATCAGCCATTGTCCCCCTATGCTCCGGTATGCTCGCACGAACCATGACCAGCACTGTCATGTCCCCCTTGGAGCTTGTCCGGACCAACTTGCAGTCAACACCCCTCTCGCCGGACAATCCCCACACACTGCGTTCCGTCTTGACTTCGGTACGAGGCTTGACACAAGTTCATGGGTTTCAATATCTTTGGAGAGGCCTAGGGCCAACCCTTTGGCGTGACGTTCCATTTAGCGGGCTATACTGGGCAGGATACGAGATCTGCAAGAAGGCGTTTGTGCGAGAGGGCTTCACTGGGCCCCAGGTTGCTTTTGTCAGCGGGGCGATCAGTGGGACGACGGCAGCCTTCTTCACGTCACCATTTGATGTCTTGAAGACACGACAACAGGCGGTCTCGATGCAGAGCGGTGGTCCTAATGCCCCCACCTTCTCTCTTGCATTGCGTATACTTCGGACAGAGGGCATGCGGGCGCTCTACGCGGGTTTCCTTCCTCGAGTGGTCAAGATTGCTCCGGCGTGTGGCATCATGATCTCCTGCTTCGAGGTTCGTGATTCTGTTTCCGCATTTAGATGATGATTAATCCTTTATATGTCTACAGGGTATTGGCAAGTTCCTGGCCAAGCCATAGTTCTGATGTCGGGCTGGAGGATGGTAGACACATTGCCTTATATCCCAGTAATATTGCACGCTATCATTATAATATATCCATGAGTATACATACGACGACGACCAACGATTCAAATCATCTAGACATAACAATAAAATGCTCACTGACATTGTCGGTGTTATCCCAGTCTGTTTAATTGTTTCTTTGCTGTCCCCAGTTTCCGACCCACTCTATCAACATCCATTGTGAGACCATCAAGCTCCTCATTTTGCTCTGCAATCTCGTGCCCAATCGCAACGCCCAAGTGTTTCTGCCTTTGCAGAATTGTGGAGAGTTGCGCCAGCTGTTCATCCTGCTGAACCATCTGCGTGTTTTGGAGTTGCACCAGTCCATGGTCGTCCAGCGGACGTGTTTGCTCCGTTTCCTGCGGTTTCGCAGCGGCGCCGAAGACCCTCGTGACGGGTTGACCGGTCCTAGACGTTGTCTCGAGCAACGCAGCGCGATCCGAGGAGGCGGCAGGGTTCCGCTCAGCCGACGACCCCAGCCCACGGGAAGTCATCCTGGCGACAGTGACCATCTTTGCCAGCTTCTCGCAGTCATCTCGCAAACGCGCGACCATGTCCGTTCGCCGCTGCAGCTCACCCTCGCTCATCCCACTCAAGCCAAGTGTCCGCAGCCCGTCCTCGAACACCCCAACTCGTGTAAGAACACCAGCCAGCTTCTTCTTCGCCTGCACATTCGCCTGATGCGATGCGGAGATGTCGCCGTGGTCGGAAAGAGCGTCACGCTTATTGATGTCTGCTCGGATGTCCCGCACCCGCGCCAGCAAATCCTGGTGCTCGTCAAGCCACGAAGAGGAGGTGAATTGAGATATTGCACCGCCCTCCATTCCATTCTGTTTGCCTACAGGCACACCGAGGAAATCACGAAAGGCGAGGTTCTCGCGCCATCGGTCGTCCCTTGCGCTGAGGATGGCGCGGAGGTAATGCTCGAGGCCTGCTCGACGCTCCTCGAGCAGTGCTGGGCTGCGGGATCTGAAAAGCGAGAACGAGTTCTTGGGTGGGAGCTCGGCAGGCGGGAGGGAACCGGCAGACTTTGTGAGCTCCAGGTGGAGATCGACGAACTCAGAGTAGCGCCTCCACATCTGCCATGAACGAACAGAGGCTTGTATCTCGATGCGATAGACGATGTGCGCCTTGGGCTCTATTCGTTCTTCATAGCCTCGAATGTGGATAGCCTGAATGGCAGACATAGCGATAGAGTGAGCGTGAGGGATGTGGCTCGGATGAATTCCAAGAACGGTAGCAAGAGCTATGTACAGTGCCACAAACAAACAATCGCTATTTCTACTTTACTACTAGAGCACACAACCACAACAATGGCCTCCTGCGGCCGGTATTTGAACAACAATGCTAATGTACAAGAGTCGGTCCGTAAATTCCAGACATATATATGGCTACACGGTCATCCTCTATGAAATCACAGCATTATCATGGACTTCTTGCTTCAACGACGGACTTCTCATCTAAGCTACCTGTTCTCATTCTACCGATGCTGGTGATTCGTCTTGTAACATTGACCTCTCGCCTTCTGATATAGAGGGTTCAGCCTTCAAATCCTCAACCACTGGGGCTGCGATCATTGTAGACTCTCAGTATCGAGAACCGTCCGTGTGCCTATGCCACTCACCGATTGCAGGTTCCCCAATTAAATATCGAAGGACATCGCTGAGAGTGATGATACCCAACAAGCGGCCCTTTTTACCGCCTTTCCGCTCTTCCTCCTGTTACAACATTGGTCAATGGACCAAGCAGACAAAAAAGATGATGATGTACTTCGCCCTCTACGACGACGAGTCGATGCACTCTCCGCTTCTTGATAAGCTGCATCAAGGTCCCAAGAGAATCTGATGCTGTGCAAATCACGACTCCAGGAAAGTCAGGGGACCGTTGATTCAAGGCTTCCGCTATTGTAAGATCCAATGATTGGTATGCACCAAGTCGGACAAGAGTCTACACATTAACACGCAGTATCAGAAACGTCAGCCCGGTCATCGTCTAGCGGTATGACAACGCACGATGACATCGACGGTTTCGTACAAATTGACTACTATACCTTCCTCGTCCACGATTGGTACCGCGGATATACCACGTTCCGAAAACATGTGGACAACGTCAAATACAGGGGTCGACATGGTCGCGGTAGCGATGGGGTGGAAACGATTGTAGCCTTCTGTGGCGTCGCCGTTTGAAAGTGGCAAATCTGACACGTAAGTACCAATGTTCAGCTTCCGCAGGGGAAGATGCAGTTGTTGGATATCTTTTGGGCACTGCGTGGTCGGATGTAGGGTCAGTAGACCAAACAGGTCTCACGAGAAGCGGCACTCACATTGATCGAGATGAATTTGAGTAGACGATATTGTGTGAGTATAGACACTATGACCTCGTGCCCGGTCTCCGCGTCATTGTCGAGCAGTGGCACTCGGCGGGCATGAGTCTGAACCAGTAGCTTCGCCGCGTCGTACAACGGAGACGAGGGATGTTCGCGTAGCATAGGTGGAGTGGCTACACCCAAGCTCCTCTCGATATCTGCAGAAAGGACGACTTACATTCCACAAAGGGGAAGAAGACGTAAAAGAAGCCGCACCTCGCAATGACTCCAGCCGGAAAGTCTCGACATCTTGAGCCGCATTATCGTACGAGGAGAAACGATAGTAGTACTGGATGAGATGAATGATGTCCGAGACGGTGAACATTCCTATGAAACACGATTGTTCACTGTTCCAGAGAGGTGCGGAGACGACGCCTGAGGATATTTGACAAAGATGGTGGTCAGAGTATCTATCGGAAATATCGACTGGAGATGCCCACCATTTGACAGAAGACATTGGAGAGCCTTCCTGACCTCCAGCTTGGAGTCGAGCACGATCAGTCTGAAACTAACTGGGAATGAGTCGTACGAATTGCGCCCCTTGAGGTAGTTTCGAATCGAGTACAAGGCAGCATCGTGAGCTTCTGGGGTGAATGGGGGAAGAAACGAGGGTGCTCTAGGTCGTCTGGCTGAGCCTTTCCGCCTGACTTTGGGCGAAGAATTGGGTGTAAGCGTGGCGTTCATGTTGGGCAAGCCACCATTCCGCGCGAGTTTGGTCGACTTGAGGCGAGCGTGCGGGCTGCCCCACGCTGACTAAGCCGCCGACGCTGTCCGGAGCGGCCGGACCTGCCGGGCTTGACGGCGCCGACCGTGACGGGCGGGCTCACGCTGCGACTTGGGCGTATCGGTTCAGGCTGTCCCCTTCCCACCACATCCAGTGCTACCATCCCCTTCTCTCACTTACTAACCGTCCCCTTCTCCCTTCTTTCGCCAGACGATGGGCACCGACGCCCCACACACCGGCCAGCTTGACCAGCAAGGCTGGGGTGAAACATTCTTCGTGGGCGCGGAGGTCCTCCGCCGTTCCCTCAGCAGCTCTGCATCTGCGCTTGAGATGCCTGACGACCAACCTCCCCCCAGCAGGGGCTCCCGCGATGCGTTCTATATCCTCCTACCGCTGCTCATTGTGCTATCCACGTTTCTCTTTCTTCTCCTCGTCTTCCTGGTATGCGTCATTCTCCTCCGTAGGCGCCGCGGCATCATGTTGCGAGACAGTGACGGTCCGATAGACATGAGCCGTGAGGACCTCGTCGAGGGGGAGGGTGGGTTTGAAGGCGTCGAGTCTCGCTGGCTTGAGACTGTTTCTGAAGTGGAACGCAGGTCCTACTCGCGCGCAAAGGGTGGGTTGAGCTACATTTGCACGTAATGACAACTAACATCAGCATCGTTCATTGCAACAGAGTACCAGTTGCAGTATCCTCCTAATTCCATGCCAACTGATATCACTCTGTCTCAATTCCTCTCCATCCAGGAGAAAGGTGTCTCTGCATGGTCATTTGAGCCAGATTTCGAGGCTATGAACTCTGTCCTAGTGCATGCGCGTACAGAGATTACATTCCTTCCCGATCCGTCATCAGCGACTTCAGTACAGTCCAATTTGCCTTTACCAAAGCTTAACGAAGTGTACTATTGGGAGGTGAAGATGTTCGATCTGCCCGAGCTAACTAATGTCGCCGTCGGTCTCGCTACCAAACCCTATCCCTCATTCCGACTACCTGGTCTTTGCCGATACTCAGTGGCATACCATTCGAACGGTGACAAGTCACACAATTTCCCATTTACTGCGACATCTTGCGGTTCACAGCTCAAGGAGGGTGATGTCCTTGGGGTCGGTTATCGACCTCGCACTGGGACAGTATTCTTCACGAAGAATGGGCGAAAAATGGAGGATGCTTTTATCGGCTTGAACAGTTGGAACTTATTCCCCACTGTTGGCGCCGATGGTCCTTGTAGCGTTCACGTCAATCTGGGCCAGTCAGGCTTCGTATTCATCGAGGCTAACGTGAAGAGGTGGGGTCTCGCCCCGAGCGTCGGAACTCTTGCACCCCCACCTCCCTATGGTAGTGAGCGCGGTAGCCTTCTCCTTGCCGCGGGAGGAGACATCATCCCGATACAGAGTGGTCTTACCTCTCCTCAAAGCCCTCCGCCAGGATCATCTCGTTCGAGACGTTCTCATCGGTCACGGAGACCGAGAAGCACGCTATCTACTGTCACTCCATTGGCTACCACGCCTCAGCAAAGCAGTCCATTGATGTCGCATTCTCCTCCTGAGACGCCTCCTCCACCGATCACGCCCATTGAAGAGGAAGGGGAGAGCAGCTGTCAGACAACAGCATCGAGGAGGTACATATCACCCACTGATATGCCCTTTCATACACCTCCTAATGCTAACATCCCTTCTTCGCCGACACAAAGCGCCGAGACTGCTGGGATTTCTGCAGCTGACGGCGAAGGCGAGTGGTCCTCCGATTCAGGCTCCTCGCGGACTTCTCGGTCGACTTCCCGCGATGCCACGCGCGTAGGTGCGAACCAGTTCAACCTGCCTCGCCCCCAGCCTTTCACGATGACTCATCCGCGTACGGGTTCGCGCTCTTCGCACTTAGGTTCGGAACTTGCTATTCATGTTCATCCGCCCCCAGATTCCCCACTGAGTCCTGAGCCCCCCACTCCCGATTTGCGCGACATTCGCCTTCAGGCGTTAGCCTCCCCGAGCTCTTCTGCCGTTGCCGGAAGCACTCAGGAGGGGAGCTATGGGCAAATGCCAGTGGGTTCAGTAGGCGGGCTCTCGGTTGCGGATCATGAACCACCTGCGTACTCGCCGCTTGATGCCTATGCGTATTCGGAAGGGGTACAAATCGACTTGCCGGCAGAGATGATTGCAGCCGCATTAGAGAGAGGGACGATTCCAGCGAACATGATTGGTAGCATGGCGCCGTCGCGTTCTGATCGACATCGGAATCGGAGAGAACGGCGACGAGTAGACGGTTGAAGGGATGGAAAGCCTGATCATGGACGGTCAGTTCTTGCTTATTGTATCGATATTGAGATGCGGCTCAGTGTACGCGGGCTTTGGCAGTTGGACGGACGAGGAGGACTCGGCACATAGTGTAGTATCTGTTGTCTGATGTTGTTACACCATTATTCTATCACGATATTTGAATGCATTCATCGCCTCTGTACATACATATATGACGAGTGGACATTCGGGAGTGGACGGAAGGGAGCGGGACTGACAGCTCAGTTGAGCTGAGCCTGCCCTGAAGAGGTGGTCCGTGCGCAGGGGGGGAAAGTACAAGAGGAGAGGTGCGGCCACCCGAATTCTTCATACTTACCTTGATGGCACATTCCCCTTCATGTACCCGGGAGTGTGGGCCGTGGGGGCCTCTCATAGCACGGCGACCTTGTCCCCAGGGGGAATCTACGGTTTGTATGGGCTCCGGCTCATGCACCGTCTCAATATTTTCCTGTCCCGCTTCGGCCCTCGGGCTGGGCGGGCCATCTTTTTTGTCCTCGCGCCCTCTTAACCCTAACCCCAGTGCCCGCCCTGAATACAATTGTTTGTATGTGCTCCTTATTACTTCTCAACCTCGACCTCTGGCTCTGGCTCTACAGCCTCTAGCAAACCCTGCTCTCTGCACACAACCTCTTCTTCCTTTTTCTCTGGGTCCATGGTTGTTGTGTAAGTGTTGTGCTCCCGCCGTGCCTTCCGCTCCTTCTCTTTTTGTTGCAACCGTCTCCCGAAGAACCAGATTATGAGACCCACCAGGAAGAGCACACTCCCGATGACGGTCATTACGATGAGGCTGCGGGCCGAGCTCGCTGGGTACGGGCTTTGAGCGAGTGATGCCTGTGGACTAGGCTGTGGTGGATTTACTGTGATGCCAATGACAGGCCCAGGCCCGCAGCCAGAATGTCCGGGAGGGCAGAAGTCGTCTCGGCGAGGAAGAGAAGAGTCCAGGAGGTACATGATGAATGTTAACTTTGCTGTGAGAAGCTTGATGTATGTCGCAGATGAGAGGAATCTCCGATAGTCAGAGGGATATTGGCCCCAAATACTCTGTAAGTGCGGTCATCCGCTATGAGGCTGACAATACATCATGAGTTGTATCTAGCTGCTGCGTTACATGGCTTTTGAAGCCTCGAGGATTGTTACAGGTCTACTTGTACTATTTCCATCTTTTTCCTTCTCCAGTTTATGGTTATCGCGTATTACGGCTCGAGCCGCTTGGGGTCCCTCGGGAAGAGCGACGCACGGCGGATGTTATTCAGCTTCAAGAACAACATGAGCACTCGCTCAAGTCCGATTCCTCCTCCACCGTGGGGCGGACATCCCATCTTGAACGCGTCCAAGTAGGGGGCCATCGAAGCGGGGTCTACTCCCTTTGCACGCATCTTCTCGGCAAGTAGCGTAGGGTCATGTATACGTTGCGCCCCAGAAAGAATTTCCTCTCCGCGCATGAAGAAGTCATATGAGTTGGAGAGCGTCTAGGGTGGAAATATCTAGTTCAGAACAAGAATCCTGGGAAGGTAGTGAGCAAACGCACCGGGTCGTCGGGGTCGGGCATGGTATAGAATGGACGAAGTTCCATGGGAAACTTGTCGATAATGAAGTAGTCAGTGTCGTATTTTTCCCGGACGATACGTCCCAGTCGCTTCTCATTCTCCGTGCTGCATTATGCTGATCTTCAATTCCGTCGAGTCACCATGCAAGTCAGCCCACTCACTTGATGTCATCGAGAGACTCCCTCGAAACACCATCCTCCACGAGCAAGTCTACCGCCTCTTTGAAGCTCATCTTGAGGGTTCCCTCAGGACCTTCTCTCCACTTGAACTCGTCCGCAGGGAACTGTTTCCGCACTGTTTCGATCTCTTTTGCATACTTCTGCTTCAGACTGCGGAACATGTGCAAGAAGAGCGCGTCGAGTAGCTCCATTACCTCATGGTAATGTTCCTCGATAGACATTTCAAGATCAAGGCCGATGAACTCCGTCATGTGGCGGTGAGTGTTTGAGTCTTCCGCACGGAAAACCGGCCCAATCTCGTAGACACGCTCAAAGTCCGCCGCTATGGCCATTTGTTTCGCAAGCTGGGGCGATTGCGCCAAGAATGCATTTCCTGAAGGGACAGGTTGAGTCTAATGTGCGGGATGCCGGCGGATCTACGTGACGTACCTTTGAAGTAGCTGACTTTGAAGACAGACGCGCCCGATTCAGTAGCGGCACCTTGCAGTTTTGGACTATGAATCTCTGTGAAACCCTGTGCATCAAGATGCTCGCGAAATAGATGGCTTATAGCGTGTTGCAGTTTAAATACGGCTTGGTTGGTTTGTGTCTTCAATAACGGTATCAGTGAGAGCCATGGCGGAGAACGAACAAGTCACCAACCCGCAAGTCAACGACGCGATTGTTTAGACGGGTATCGAGAAGCACCCTCTTGTACTGTACGTCCTCGCCGGTCTCTATTTCCGTTTCTGGGCGGGCAGCATCTTCTACACTGAAAGGTAAGACACTTTCAATGCCCGATACTAAGTGAATCTGTATGTTCATTCAGCTACGCATGAGAAGCTTAGACATCGCTTCGACTCACTTGCGTAATATGAATCTCCACATCGCTTACGGTGGCACTTTTGATAGGTTCTGGCGTCTTCTTCGCGATACCCTCAACGAGCACGATACTTTCCATCTGCAGACTACCGGCCCACTTCGCCATCTGCTTGCTGACCTTGCCCGGCGCAACCGTGAGCAGCGCTTGCACAGAATCGGTGCGTTGGCGCAAATTGAAGAAGACCATCTTACTCCCCTGCATACGCGATGTCTGCACGCGGGCTCGCAGTAGGACCTGCGTACCATCCATGTCAGGTGTGAGAGTAGTGATGTCAATACGGGAGCGTCGCGGACGAGACTGTGATTGATTGAGGGGGAGTTTTCCGTAGTACTCGGTCGAAAAGTCCTGGAAGGAAGGAAGGCTTTAGATTTCTGGGAACTATGATAGATGAGAAGATGCGGTATGTGGTGTCCAAGGATGCGCAAAATGTATACAAACTGACAACTTCTGCAGCAGCTTTCTGCGCCTCAAGTTCTGCTTGTTTAGCGGCTTTCTCAGCAGCCTTCTTCGCCTTTTCCGCCTCCTTGGCGCGTTTCTTCAACTCACTCTTGGACGGACCCTTGGAAACATCACCGCCCTCCTCATTGCTATGATGAAAGATAAAATCAGCGCCATGTTATCGAAGACCTTAGACCGCGGCACTACTACACTTACGGATTAACTTGAGGTGCCTCAATATCAGCCATGTTGTGATGTTTGGTCAATTCAGGAAAGATACAGACAGCTTATATCCTGCAGCAAACTTATCAGGGCTGGCTCGATTGCGCAAGGTGCAGAAGAGCAGGCTGGAGCCCGGAGACCTGGACTTGCCCCTGGTCCTTCGTGGTCGAGTCAGGGCGAGTCTCAAGGTCTTTTCGGATTATCGATGGGGAGACGCTGGGATAGGGTTAGGGTTTTGCCTAACCATACCTCGGAGTGTCGCCGGAAGCCGGAGCGTCGCCGGACGGGGACTCGGCACGTCGCCGCTCTAGCTCCGGGGCTCGGGTCCTCATATACATGCCTGCTGGCAACGCTCCGAGTCTGCACGACCGACTACTACTTCTCCTCCTCACCTCCCTCAATCTCATACCCTCACCAAAATGCAGGCCATTGCTCGCCCTCTCGCACGCGCTGCTCCCAAGCAGATCCGCTGTGCTGCTGCACTCTCGACCTGGTCTGCCGTGCCCGCAGGTCCTCCGGATCCCATTCTGGGTATGTTCTCTTCTTCCGATGCGCCGAGCGTATTGTATTCTCGCACGGACTATGCGATCGTGGCCATGGTTAATAATATACACTGAGTAGTATCTCAGTCGTTCACGCGCATACATTCTACGCGGCTGCCTACCGATGATCCTCCGGAGTATTAATCGTGGATCCCTATCTTCGTAGGTGTATCCGAGGCCTTCAAGGCCGACCAGGATTCTAAAAAGATCAATCTGGGTGTGGGCGCATACCGTGACGGCAACGGCAAGCCGTACGTTCTTAGCAGCGTAAAGAAGGCCGAGGAGTACCTCAGCGCCGCCAACCCAGACAAAGAGTACTTGCCTATTAGCGGCCTGCCAGAGTTTACGAAGGCCGCTGCGAAGCTTGCGTACGGCGGGGACAGCGCACCCCTCAGCGCGAACTCGGTATGTAGTTCACTGTCTACTACATATATGACGGGGTTGTCTGATCAAATCGTGTTCATGATGTACAGGTTGCCGTTGTCCAGTCGATTTCGGGTACTGGCGCCCTCCGTATTGGAGGTGCCTTCTTCCAGCGATTTTTCCCTCATGCGAAAACGATTTACATACCCAATCCGTCATGGGGAAACCACACGTCCGTCTTCCGTGATTCGGGTTTGGAAGTCAAGCAGTACCGATACTTCGACAAGAAGACTGTAGGGCTTGACTTTGAGGGAATGAAGGCGGATCTCAAGGTGAGGATGTCTGAACCAACGCCAGTCTTTGTTTAGAGTCTGATTCCGTGTAAACTCAGAGCATGCCTGCAAATTCGCTCGTTCTTCTTCATGCTTGTGCTCACAATCCGACTGGCGTCGACCCCACGCCGGAGCAGTGGGTTGAGCTTTCTGACATTGTCGCAGAGAAATCACTCTTCCCCTTCTTTGACATGGCATACCAGGGCTTTGCGTCCGGGGACTTTACTCGTGACGCCTTCGGAGTACGTCACTTCGTTTCCGCGGGTCACCAAGTCGCTCTTTCGCAGTCATTCGCAAAGAACATGGGACTCTATGGCGAACGTGTCGGTGCATTCTCGCTAGTTGCCGCAGATGAGGAAGAGAAGAAGCGCTTGGAGAGCCAGCTGAAGATCGTGATTCGTCCGATGTACTCCAACCCTCCGCTGCATGGGGCTCGTATTGCGAGCACGATTCTCAACAACGCTGAATTGTACAAGGAGTGGGAAGGGGAAGTGAAAGGAATGGCCGATCGAATTATATCTATGCGCGAGCGGCTGTACGACAATCTAGTTTCTCTGAACACTCCTGGCCAGTGGGGGCACATCAAGAGCCAGATTGGCATGTTCAGGTGTGCTTCACTCCACTATAAGTTGTTATTGAGCTAAATTTTGAGGATGACGGATTAGCTTTACGGGTCTGACGACTCCGCAAACCAAGGTGCTCGCGGAGAAGGCGCACATCTACATGACTGCTGACGGGCGAATTTCGATGGCGGGTCTGAACTCGCACAACATTGATTACTTCTCGGAGAGCGTGAGCAAAGCTGTGAAGGGCGAGCTCTAGGTGGACGTCCGTGATTATGGACTTATTACACCCTTGAGTGCCTGAGATATAGTAATGGGATTTGATTGTAGAGTAGTAGACGATTGTCTAGATCTGCTTCGTCTCGTAGTATCAGGTTTGCTTAATGGATTATGGTGTCTTGCCTCCTGGCCCAGAGAAATGATTGATTCCTTTGCAGGTCGGAATCTCAGATCGACGTCGCCCAGTACTGTCGGCGCTTGTTAACGCCAACTTGTCTCCGACGAATGAGGATGTGCGGTCGCTCGTAAAGGCAGGTATCATGCTTCGAATTCTCGTAGACCGCTGGCAGAGCTCTGACATGAATGCTCTTTCCCTCCCTTCGCCCGAACCACTCGTTCGAGTGAACTCCCATGCCGCCCTCACTGCTCTGGCGTCGTAGGACGTCGACTCCCTTTTTCCCTGGCGCGTGGCCCAATTCGTCCTCTTCGGTCAACAACACGATCGACGAATCTCGCATTCGCGACGAGACTCCTCCACAGCTTCCAGAATTGTTACATATTCGCCCACGAACGAAATTACAAGATGATGACCCCAGTGCAAGTTATTCGACTGATGCCGCTGAACGAACGTGGCTATTTTCGACGGCGCTAGAGACACATCCCTTCGAGGATACAGTCGTCCCAAACGTCGACGTCGACGATGTCCTTTCATGTTCTGCAACTCATGATACTCCATTAAATGCTAGCTTCTCGCCGTATTCAAATTTCACCGAACCTTCGGTATGGTCCTCGGAAACTGAATGCAATATCATGATCGCATATACTCACTGTTTTCTTCCGTGTAGGACTCCGAGGGGGTCCTTACCCCCGACTCACTATATCGAGAGCCTTGTCAATGGTCGGCCTTTCAGAGAGATTACTCCGAGAGCAACAATAATGACGTATATCCGCATTTTACGATTCAAGATAACGCCCATTTCTCTAGCAATGTTCCGACCAAACATAGTATCGCAATGGAACCTATGCCCAGCAGAGTCAGCATATATTCACCCGAAGCTCTCAACATGGTTGGACCCACTCTCCATCGCTCTGGAGCCGTTTTCAATCCTCCGTCCCTCGATTTCATGCCTCCCCTCACACTGTCTGCGCTTTCACTGGATTTAAACGCCATTTTTTACCCTTCTGATGCGAACATGGACGGAGACAGTTCGCCTATTCAAATGACATCTCAATCACCTTCAGAGACCACCCATATTTCATTTGCTCTTCCTTCAGATGCCACCGAACATGCAGAACTCTCGCCCATGGCGTCGACATTCTTCCCTGTCCCAAGTGGCGATCTCGTTAATAACGCGGGCTCAACGAATTTATCACTTTGTAGCCGTGCAGATTCTCCCGTTCTGCCTTCTCGTGATGCAAGTCCGCTGGCTATAGACTTTTCACTTTCACCTGGGTCTTCTCGGCCATGGGCACCCACATCGGCTGATCTCGACGCTTTCGCGCATGCTGCGACAGTAGCGGCTTTCTCAACGCATTCATCTTTCTCTTTTTCGACGTCAACGCGATCCGATATCAATGTTGATTGCAACAGGGCACAAACCAATTGCAGAACGTCCAAGGAACAAGTATCGGCAGTAGAGTCTTGCGAGCCAAGTCTAGCGCTTGCAATTTCCGCATGTGCAAGTACGACAGTAGATTTAGACCGGAAGCCTAAGTCAGACCACCATGGCGCGAACCACGAGCGCAGCAATCGCAGAGGATCGGAAGACTCGCTAATGGACAGAGAAGGGGAATGTATACCACTAGACGAATTCTCGTGTCCTGGCACGCGTCTTGAAAATCTCGCCCAAGGACATAGCATGAGTCCGGCAATCGGCGCTGGATCCAGTGCCGAAATTCCTGTTGAGCTAAGTATAGATAGGCGGATACCCACGAAGCTACCGGTGATGGGGAAGATGAAGAAGTTTGGCGGAAGAATACTTGGTATTTTTACAGGAGGACGGACTGGAAGTGGAAAGCGTACAGGAAGAATGAGCTCACCCATGGCAACGCGTGAAAGGGAGCTTGGTGGTATCAAGACAACGACAACTACTGTTACTACAAACGTTGAGTATAGATCAGTGAGTGTATGCGTTAGAATTTTGAGCCTCAAGTGCAGTAATAACACGTAGGCTCAGAAATACCCAACTTCTGCATTGGAATCACCAGTCAGGAATTCGCACGTTTGGCGTCGATCGTTAGCTCTCCCTACCCTGGTCTCAAAATCTCCTTCGCACCTTCGAACGCCCAAACACTTTTCATTCCTCTCGGCTGACTATGTCGACGACAATTCTGTAGAGCCTGCGCGCCTTCAATCGGACAGGTGCATTCATCCGACAACCTCCATAGATGAACATTATAAGGCTGCAGGGGTCATGCAGAGGTGTTTTATGAGAAGCCGGACTCAGACAGCTCCTCCCGTCCAGACGCACCAGGAGGAAGGCGCGGAACGACCGGGAAGGCAAACGAGAAGGTTCTCTCTCTCTTCTGCTCTGTCCAAGTCAAAGCTTGAGGTGTTGAGAAACACGGTTGTGCCTCATCCGCCTGTTCCCCCGTTTCCGCACTCATCGACCATTGAGCCATTCGACGGGTTGATGGAGGACAAGCCAGTCAGACCAATTAGCATGATCGCTGGGTATGGTCAGAATATATATGCGCGACGGGGAGATGGATCTATTGAATCCTTCGGGTACATCACATCGGCTGCTCATACTGGGTCGGGCAGTCACAGAAGGCTAGCTAGGCCATCGAGCACGCACGTTGGAAATTCACGGGATGTATGGAACACTTTATCACAATTCCCGGAGAGGGAGGCGTTGGAGGAGAGCAGGCGGATGCGTAGACCGATGAGTCGTCCACCTATAGGCAAGGATCAAAGTACTCGACAGAGTCGAGATGAGGCAGACGGTATGCGTTCCACGATGCGCGAGCCTTCTCCTAGACACAATGAGACACTGATAACAGAAGGACATCGTGTAGATGCGACATATTTGGCAAAGGAAGATGGTGCCATGCTCTCATCTCCTTCAAGCGCCCTATCCAACGGACCATCGAGTCTGGGAGCCTCTCCACTTTCTCCGAAGAGCGCGCAATCTGGCACACAAGTCCAGGGCGATCGAGCGTTACGTCGGTTTTCTCTCACTTCAGCCATATCTCGACGGGCCATGCGAGCGAGAAGTATGATTGTCTCCGTTGGTAGGCGCAGTGTCGAGCTTGAGTCCCGTTCTTCAGCGACAGGCAAGATTGGAACGGGTCGTCGAACTCGTGGAAATACCTTTAGCACCGTAGTGGATGCTAGCGGCGTTCATTTTGACATGCTTACACCCGACGTCTCGTCAACCATGCTGGCACCTGTGGTGCCGTCCAACTCCATACCTTCACACTCAAGGGGCGGAGAATATGGGGAGCTCCATGAAGAAATGGGCAAACGTGACCTCCGCAGCGAGATGCAGGAGACGAGCGGACAGCCAACCCCCGACTCCGAGTTGGACAGTATGAGTTTTGCCTACACCGCGACACATCAAGAGAGTCTCGTCAGCATCGTTGGGCGCTATCTTGACATGCAACCCTCCAGCTTCGAGCCAGTAGCTCTTAACGAAGGTTACGACAGCACTTTTGATGAAGAGTCAGAGGATATTGTACCGTTCACGAATCATATGCAGCCAAGTCCTAGCTTCAGAATCGGCCTTGGAACAGCTGCGGGAGTTGACGAAAATGAACAAGAAAGTGTAGAAAGGGAGGAAGATAGAGGTTTTCTACGGGCCTTAGGACTCGAGTTTGATGATAATTCCTGCAACCCCTAGAGACGTGATTGACGGCCAGTGACAGAGTTACATATCGTACCATTCCATACCAACTTTGTAGCACTATTTGAGCACTTGTACTCCTACGTCATCAGCACCTAGATCGTAGATACCCCCGATGAATTGTACCTCAACTAGGACGAATAGTTCACCATTTTCGCGCATTGAACTGAGCAGGTGGATCATTGCAAGCCGCAATATGCTGTACGCTATTTCTCACAAAATGTGGATTTCTACATAAACGTCAGGAATAGATCCGCCTCAAATGTCTAGATCTTCGTCTGGGTCGTCATCGTCAATGTCGTCTGCTGAATCAGGATCATATAGTATGGCAGCAGGTGTGACGTCGACACCCTTATCTTTGGACGTCCCTTCGAACAGGATGTCAGAAATAAGTCGGCTCCTATCTTTGAAGCATACCGTTATGCTCGTAAGGCAACGGCACTTGAGCGCGCGATAATTGTTGTTGCGCAGTGAGATTCAGATTGAAGGGGAGATTTTGAGTGGGATCAGGTACAATCTATACTTTTTTAAGGGAGACAAACGGATGCTTGACATACAGAACGCACCTCTTCAATCGTATTTCGCTTCCACAAGCCTTTAAGGTCGTCCAGGTCCTGGAGGTCACAAGGACATCCACCACTACTGTTATGTGAATCTATCCATCCCTCCAAGACATGCTCGACGCCTTTTCTGCGCGCAGATCCGTCTGCGCCTCGGACGAGCAGCTCGACCGCGAATTCTGCGCTTCCGGGACCTTCGCCGTCGGAGGTGAAAACAAGCTTCTCCGACTCGTAGTGACGGTCCGCAATTGGCAGGAAAACGCGCCAGAATTTCTCCGGCGTTGACAACGGCGGGGGAGGCGTAAGGTATGCAGTGGCTAGATGGGAGAGAAGAGCTGGGGGGTGCGCTATTATATGAGTGAGAGCAGGAGAGAATCTTGTTTGGGTGAGGATGGGGATAAGAGGGGACGGCGCAAGAACATGGAGGACGAGGCGAGACCCTAGCTCGTGCTTAGAAAAACTCGATGGACGGATATGATTCCACTTACCGCTTCGCGAGCATACAAGACCAAATATTTCAGACAAAAATTGTTCAGTTTTTGCGAGAGACCCGAGGTCGGAGAAGAGAGTGTCGACAGAATCGACGATCACGACGACTGGACCTGGGGGAGCTGCGTTTCGCACATCAGTTGCTCGATCATTCTAGCCGAGATTTATACACCAACCAGATCTTACCGCGGCTCTTATTTCCTCTCTGATGTCGGGAGGTGTGATGGTACATCCCAGGGTGTATCCTGGCACATTTCCTGTCCAGTCGAATGTACGCAGACACTCTGACCCAAGTTGCGCCGCGCCTGCGAACGCCGACGGCGGATACAACAGGCAGAACAACAATGTTGACCCTGGATGTGAGAGATTGCTTCTAGTCTCAGTAACGAGACGGCGAATTATGGGCAAACATGATTGAGCAGTCGATGATTGCAGCAAGAGCAGGCGCTGCGTAGACTTCGTGAGAGTGGAGGCAAGAAGAGGCGGCATGAGAGTCTTACATATCGATCGTCTCAGGCAAGATTGCCGTCTGATCTCAGCCCCGTCCTCTTTACTTGGTGCTGCTGCACACTTCTCAGCCATGGCAGATATAAAGGTGGGGTTCATTGGCAGCCAAAGTCATGCTCGTCTACTATGTTCATATTTTAGAGTCTATTCCCCGTTCATCACTCGATAGAAGCTCTGCCGGCATCCTCCAAGATTCGCTCACTATACCCAGAGAATACATTCCCCAATGGTAGCTCCCACATACTTGCCCGCAGTGTAGAAATTTGTAAATGACGGTGATAACAGGTGCTTACGTTCAGTTACCGCACGGTAAGACTCGCTACTGGCTATTAGGTCCGGAAGGTGGCACCAAAGTATGTGAAGCGCCAGTGCTCACGCTCGTCAAATCAATAACAAGGGTCCCGTAGCTTGTTCTGATTCATGGATTGTCCACTCCCGCCATTACCTGGATAGAGATCGGTCCATACCTTGCGTCTCGAGGATTCAGGGTTCTCATCTATGGTACCCTACCGTGACTTTCACCTGCCTACCTTTTCCCACTGACACCGAACCTAGATTTGTACGGTAAGGGATACTCGGAGGCGCCACAGACAACGTACCATACGAGTTTGTTCGTGTCACAACTCGCTCTCCTCATGCAATATATTCGCTGGGATAGTGCACATATCACTGGCTTCTCCATGGTGATGGAGCCAACGGCCATCTTACACTCAAGACGACTCATTTATTGCCTCTTCTAGGGCGGTGCGATCGCAGCCGCTTTTGCTGCTACCTTACCTCATCTCGTGGAAGGCAAGGTTATTCTTATGTCGTCTGCCGGGGTCCATGAAGTTAGTCAAGGTGTTCCCAATTGCGCGCTGCATGCTGATAGCAACTCCAGCTACCTCCTCCGGAAGAGAGCCCTGCACAAAAGGCAGTACGTACCAGTCATGCCAACCTTTTCAACAATGAAACTCATCCAGGACTTCCACAGCCTGTAAAAAGCCCCATCCCTCAATTCCAAGAGGTATTCTGAACGTCCCTCGCTACATCACCTCTTCGTTTATCCTACCGTGACATAGTTAATCAGCCTTCAGTACGAAGTGCTCCCAGGGTATGACTACGGTGTTAAATCCTGCCTTCGAGATGGACCCATTCATGGACTTCTCTGGATATTCGACAAGTTGGCCGGGTGCCACGTTCGCTCGGGTGATGAATTGCAGGTTCTCATAATACACGTAAACAGGAACGTTCCTTCAAAGCAGGAACTCGACTGATTATTCCTTTTCTGCAGGGCACTCAGGACCATATAGTGCAATATTCAGACGCTGTGGAGATTAACAAGCACATACCCACAGCCAAGTTGATAACCATAGAAGGCGGCGCGCACGACATTCCAGTAAGCGAAGGTCATTGGAAACAAGTAGCAGAGAGTATGCTATCATTTCTGGCTTGATGGAAACGCGCACAAGTGGCATTACCCCTGTAAGAACAATTTGACTGCATAATACGAGGATATATTGGAAGTTCTGGTCGATTTCCGATGTTCGATGATGAACGTAAATGGAAAAATGCCATTGGTCAAATGCTGTCATTGGTGGACCTATGTTGCACTTCTCTTTTTCCATGTCTGCCTCTTGAGAACCTGTATTGTGTTCTGCCATCTCAGTACCCCCACTTTCTCCGTGTTGAGCTCGAACTCAAAACCACACTTCCGCAGAGCGTTTCCAATATATGACTTCAACGGAGTCTCAGATGCACGGATTCGTTCAACCACAGGACTTGAGGCAAAAACTTGCTGAACCGCGTGAGAGAGCAGGTCGCTTTGGATATCAACTGTCCTATAAGGCTCATCAACATAAAAATGGCGTATAGTCGCCATCTTAGATGTGCCTTCCGAATATTTGACTCTTCCATCTTTCCGTTTGATAGGAGCGGGTGACGATGCGATAGTTTTGTCGGATGTAGAATCAAGGGAAGCATCCACGGCGATAAATCCGACAACCTTGTCGCTAAATTCGAGGATCCAGAACCCAGAAGATGGGGAGCGAGAATAGTAGGAGGGAACGTCGATTAAATCAGGCCGACGTAAATCGTCGTCTGCTTGTTCCTCGAATATTGGCCGGTTGATCCTGACAGAATGACAGAAGAGAACATTAGCCTGTGTCCTTGAAGCTCATCTTGTATCGCTCACCAGTCACAGAGAAACATTAAGGGAACGGCAATGGCCGCTAATCCCGGGACCGGGCTCGCATAACCGAGAAAGCCCTGCTCTGGCTTCGGCCACATCCCGGTGAGCTGGATGAACACGCAAGACAGACCAATCCATAGTGCCAGAGATAGTGGATGAAAGTACACTATTTGAAAGCTGAAATGAGAAGTAGTACAAGGTCACACTATACGACCACACTTGCCACGCCTGTTTGCAGTTGCCAGAGCCTCCATGTCGCCTTTTGCGATGAGGAAATTGACGAGTCTCTTCTCCTCAACCTTGAAGGGGCGTATCCGGGCTTCTGGCACGGCCATTTTTGCGTACGGGACGACGATGCAGCAAAGATGTCGACGGTCGAGCAGACATGATGGCTCAGGCACTCAGAGGCGCACGAACGTGCGTGCAGCTCAATGGGCGACGCACGTGACTACCATGATTGCATCTTACCAGATCCGATCGCTACTCGACGCTGCGATCTTGATTCTTGACCATCGCTGCCATGCTCATCACAAAGTCCCATTACGACGTCGCTTCAAAGCTGGACCCTAATGGCGCGAAAATCAGAATTTTTGTCATATCACCCAAGATCCCCGGGTATCCACAAGCAAAATTCCCAGGTACTGCTTTGATTTGTCTCTTCCGTCTGCCCCAGCCACTCATAGCAGCCCCAAGGCGTTGTATGTTTCAGGTGAGCGTGTCTGCAGCACTTGTGCGACTAATGTGCGATGGAAATCGTCAGTGAGATTTACCAGGTAACTGGTCCAGTGGAACGCTTTGCGGGACAAATTGCCAGCCAGGGGTATATTGTCGGTAAGTCCGATCCGAGTCGGGATGCCTCCCAGACAACAGTCGTGACTGCTTTATTTGGTAGCCTGTCCATCATCCTTCCATGAGTTCGAAGGGCCGGATCCGATTTCGTACGACACAGAAGGTATGATATTGTCCAAGTAACAATAGTATGCTTATCTGCCCGGTCCTTCAGGTACCGATAGAGGGAACAAGTATAAGGTGTGTTGTATTGAAAATATGTCTACATCTTAATTGAGAAATCTCCCCTTCTGCAATATAGATTGAGAAGGAAGTAGCAGCATATGACGAAGTACGAGTGATATTCTCATATCTATCGTAGACCATCTCACTGGTATTCGTTAAGGACGCTACCCTTTCTATCGATCTATTATGTTCCCTGAAGAATTGCAATGGCAGAATTGCCTGTACGTACCTGTCTGATCCCCCAGAACTTCTTCGAGCTTTGTTTCTGCAGCAACCGGGATGTGTCTAGGAGGGCATCTCGTACGTCTTATATATTGCGCTCCGCGCTATCGGGATTAACTTTGAACCGATGCAGTCATTCCGGGTACGCTGATATTGACAGTGCTTGGGGACTTTTATCCATTATTCGCAGGCTGCCTTCGACTCGCGTGTCCTGGCGTCTGTCTGCTTCTTTGCAACAGACGTACACTCTGCGACTCTCGGCAAAGGAAAAAATGACGACTCACTTGCCCGAGTGCGCAATGGCGATTTGACCGGAAAGGGCGAACTTGTGGTATGCTCAAAGTCCATTCACGCTCCTCAGGCTGCCGTCATCGCTGATATCTTATACATTACTACCGCTCAGATGATTTTCGGGAAACAGGTTAGTCTGTCCATTCGATCATTATATGCAAGTTTGACGAGTTGTCACACCGACAGGACACGCACGTTCCTCGCGAGGGTAGAGATTTAATAAGGAAGACGCTCGAAGACGCAAACGTCCCCACTTCTGTGCGCTCGCTTTTCCTGAGATCGCAAATACGAGCTCATATCTGGCATATAGTTTTTGGAAGTCCAAGCTCAGCATGCCTTCATCCGAGACCAATCTTCGAAAGATCGATGGGACGCAGCGCTGACGAGAACTTTATTCGCATTTATGATGGAGGTCTTTGAGCGCACTGTCGCCCGAGATCTAGGTCCAAGGGATGATGATGTTGGTACAGTTGAACACACCTGTTAATTTAGGTAGAATGTGCATGCAGTAAGAAATCCATCGGTTCAAAACGTCCATGCCCATTATTGGACCTGTCTTACATCACGCACATCAGATAATGATACAAACGATGCCACTTCTTATTCTCGACAACATGATCGCACAACATTACTGAACATTCGACGGTACCTCCGCCGGCGCCTTCGTCATCGTGAATACAACAGTGATAGAACAGTAACACAGTTTGCAGCAGTTAGAAATACCATGCGAGATAAGGAAGGAAACAAGAGAAGAAAGAAGCGAGGAAAAATGAGCGTATTCTATACAGTTTACTTCTTCTTGCCCGCTTTCTCCGCAGACTTGGTAACTAGAGGGCATGATGAGTCAAAGACCAGGTGACGAAATAAGCAAACATACCCTTTCCTCCAGACTTGTCAGTCTTGTCAACCGCCTTGATGATACCAACTGCAACAGTCTGCCTCATGTCACGAACGGCGAAACGACCGAGTGGTGGGTATTCGTTATAGGACTCGACACACATAGGCTTGCTCGGCACGAGTTTCGCAATGCAGGCATCGCCGGACTTGACGAACTTGGGGGCCGCCTCGATCGATTTACCCGTTCGGCGGTCGATCTTCTCGATCAACTCGGCAAACTTGCAGGCGATGTGAGCGGTGTGGCAGTCAAGAACGGGTGCGTAACCAGCGCCGATCTGACCAGGGTGGTTGAGGATGATAACCTGCGCCGTAAAGGAAGCCGCCTCCTTGGCGGGGTCGTTCTTCGAGTCGGAGGCGACGTTACCACGACGAATATCCTTAACAGAGACGTTCCTGTCATTGGTGTAAGCACTTGCAATCACAGAAATATAGGAGCTAACTCACTTGACGTTGAAACCAACATTGTCACCAGGGACACCCTGCTCGAGCTGCTCGTGATGCATCTCGACCGACTTGACTTCGGTGGTGACGTTGGTCGGGGCGAAGGTAACAACCATACCCGCCTTGATAACACCTGTCTCCACTCGGCCGACTGGCACCGTACCGATACCACCAATCTTGTAGACATCCTGCAGAGGAAGTCGGAGAGGCTTGTCGGAAGGACGAACTGGCGGCTCAATAGCGTCGATAGCGTCAAGAAGGGTCTTGCCCTTCACAACACCGGCCTTGGTCTCCTTGGTCCAGCCCTTGTACCATGTCATGCTAGGAGTTTCATGTCAACACCCGAATCCGCGAAGCATTTACATTGCGAAGACTTACTTGGCGGACTCCTCCAACATGTTGTCACCGTGCCAACCAGAGATAGGGACGAAAGCCACAGCCTTGGGGTTATAACCAACCTTCTTGATGAAGGTGGACGTCTCCTTGACGATTTCATTGAAACGGTCCTCGCTCCACTACAAAAACGAACGTCATTTATGACGTTGCGCATGCGCGATACAATACGAACCTTCGTGGTATCCATCTTGTTAATGGCGACGATAAGTTGTCGCACACCAAGGGTGAAGGCAAGGAGAGCATGCTCGCGAGTCTGGCCATCCTTGGAAATACCAGCCTCAAATTCACCAGTACCAGCGGCGATAATGAGAATGGCGCAATCAGCCTGAGAGGTACCGGTAATCATGTTCTTGATGAAGTCACGGTGACCGGGGGCATCGATGACCTATAAACAGCCGCATTAGATAGGCAGACTCAACATTAATCGAGCACAATCAACTCACAGTGACCATATACTTGGGGGTCTCGAACTTCCAAAGAGCGATATCAATCGTGATACCACGCTCACGCTCAGCCTTGAGCTTGTCGAGCACCCATGCTGTCAACCATGCATAAGTTGCATGCCTTCACAACAAGGAAAGAAAGAACATACCGTACTTGAAGGAGCCCTTACCAAGCTCAGCGGCTTCCTTCTCGAATTTCTCGATCGTACGCTTATCGATACCACCGCATTTGTAGATCAAGTGTCCGGTGGTGGTAGATTTACCGGAATCGACGTGCCCGATGACTGCAGGAGGTTAGGGACGACGCCGATCTTTATCGATGAGAGCGATTTGGCTTACCGACGACGTTAACGTGAGTCTTTTCCTTTCCCATTTTTGAGAACTGTGGTAGAGATCAGTAAAGGGTCACAGACATGAACGCAGAACACAGGAAATCATATCCCGGCTCGCTACGCGAAAGTATAGATGAGAAATAGGCGGTGGATCCCCTCTCCATCCAAATGCCCCCCCTCAAATCCGACCCTGATGCACTAGAAGACGGAGACGATCTCGAAGAAATGGGAAGAGAGGGGACCCAAAGACTCACTTTTTGCGAAACGAAAGTGCAGGAAAGTGGGAAGGACGGGCGATGGGGAGATGAGGGTAAGAGGGAACCAGAGGGCGATCTGGAGTTATGGCTTATGTAGCCCGCGGGCTGGAAAATTTTAGCGATCGATGTGGAATCAGATTGTACTGGCTCAGCTCCGGCCGACCCGGTGGCGCCGTGTCACTCGGCCGGCGTTCCGTCCGGCCCCAGCTCCGGTATCGGCTTCCACGCACAAAATTGATTTTGCTTCTACTCTATCGCACAATAGTCTGTAACGTACATCCTAGGTATGGAAACATGGCAGGGTGAGAGCGGTATGGAAACACGAGGCAGGGCGATGTCGACAGATAGCAGGGGATGGTATGGACACAGGGACTTCTTTAGTGCAGGCATATAACTTAGACGTAAACAGACAGACCCCCCTCGACGACTCAAAACCGGGGACTGGCGCGAAGCGATCAGATAACATACCTGCAGGACCAACTCGAGTCAGCATGTCGGTGATTCCGTGGTATCTGATGCTCAGCGGCTTGCACGCACAGGCCACGCGGTGACCTCTGACAATCAGCCCAAATCACCGCTCCATGCCCCATCCTGCGCCCCCACTCAAGAATCGGCTCTGCAGGATCGTCTGAAACGACGGGCGCGCGCTCACCTCCACCTGTAGGCAAGCTCGCACCAGTGTAGCGGCATCGCCCAGCGTACCGCCACCATCTGGCTCTTCGCCCTCGCACTCCTTACCATCCGCACACCGCTCATCTAGCGCAATCGCCGCATTCGAGAACGGAGACTCAAGGCCTTCTTGCGCCTCGGCCGCAGTTGTAAATGGACATTCCCCCACAAGCATGACATATGCAACGACCCCGAACGCCCATACGTCTTGCTCTTTGCCGAAGTATCGTTCACCGCGGAGGATCTCAGGTCCTGCATAGTCCAATCTAGGATGAGATCGATATTGAGATTCAATAGATACAACAGATAGAACACGAACGACTCACGTGCCGCTAAACGTATCCCACCCACTCTTCTTGACAAGACCGGAGCTACCAAAATCGATCAAAACGCACTTTCCTGCAGGCCCAAGGACAACATTCTCGTCTTTGATATCCCTATGTACTGTTGGGAAACAAGATGAGAGAATTACGCGGCGAGATGAATGAGGCTCACCAATTCCCTTTGAATGGAGGAAACACATCGCATCCGCAATTTGCCCCAAATAAGTCCGAATAGAGTTTGTAGGCAGACCATGAGGGTAGCTCTCGACGAGATCAAATAAATCTGATGGAGGGGGCGGTTCGCCGTCTACAGGTTCTGGAGTGGTCGACGGCAAAACGAGGTAGTAGTAGTGATTATCCTCGAAAAAGTCGAGCAAGGGACAAATGTTAGGATGTCCGTTGACTGTTTTACCTTCAATCCAGAAATCATCGGCTTCGGATGCAGTCCTTGAAGGGTCCCAGGGTCTGCGATGAGGTAGCACATATTGCGTCGACGAGATAGCGGTCATCACGTATATCTCGATTGGGATTGTGCCAAATTTTGGGTGCCGTTTCCAACAGTCCGCCAAAATACGTGACTTTATAATTTGCTTTATGACTAGGGGTGGCTGTTCGGGGCTCGTAAGTTATGTCGATGTGTAATGCGCAGAACCGAGATACTCACCCCAAGCGTTCCATCATTATTCATTTCTCGTGCCCTTTTTACGAGCCCATACGCACCACGTCCAATTTCTCTCTCAATGACAAACTCGGAAATACTGCGCTCGCTAGAGACATCAACCTCTGAGTTCGGCGTTGGTGGGCCTGTGCTAGCAACGCTAAGAAAGCTGGCCGCACTACTAGTGCGAACAAGAGTTTGAGCGACAACAGGTGGCGGGGATGGAGGTTCGATAGGTACGATCGAGACACGACCAGCAATGAGAGAAACACGCTGCTGTGACGAGCGTCGACGGGGTCGGGGTGGGCCATTCAAACGTGGAGATGTTGGCGTGTGGGAAAGAGGAGGACGTGTGGATGCTGGCGACAAGGGTCGTGGTGAAGCTGCCCGGGACAAGGGTCGCGGCGACGCTGGCCGCGAGACGGCAGGGGAGCGGGACAGAATTGCGGAGATAACGTTCCCGCGTGGAGGCGAAACCGATGGGATAACAGGGACCGCCACCGAGCTTGCGGATGATCCTGGATCTGCTGAGTGTATAACTCTAGAGACTGCATGAGTGTTCAGTCGAGTCGGTCGAGGTTTCAGTGTGGCAGAAGGATCCGTGCCAAGTAGAGGGGGTTCGGGATGTGTCTGGGACTGTTCAGGTTCTGCGCATTCTCCCTCTTCGTCCTGCTTGTGCCAATCGAAACCTCTACCGATTGATGTCACGCCCCAGCTGTTGCCCACGGAGGCAGCGCGGTATAGTCTTTGTCCCTGTGGCGGCCCAACCCAGTCGTCGTCGTCAAAAGCGAGGTCAATAGTAGCAGCAGCGAGCATCTCGCTACAGACAGTAGCTCCGAAAGTAGTAGGCAGAGGGACCTTAGTCGTCGTGAACGCTGGGGGGGCTGAGCTGGACCGTCCGGAGCGGAACGTCGGTTTTGAAGGGATCGTCCACGTGCGAATTGGCCCGCCGCGGAGCCGCCGACCATGGCCCACCCAGAGAATGCCGTCTTCATCGCCACTCGCGCCCCGCTCCTCGTCGCTCTCATCATGAGGCCCCGAGTAGACGGTCATGGTCAATTCAGGAGAGGCATCGTGGCGCGTGTGTGCTGTTATCTCTTCATGTGATTGAATCGTGCTGGAACAGGCATTGTTTATGCAGCGAACGGGGTCACAGAGCGGATAAGGAGATCCATCACGTGATGATACTCCCAAGCCCGAGACGCTTGAAACTACCCGCCCAGTACACGACAACAGAATCCAGCTCCCCTCCTCAAGATCCCTGTACCCGTGAGTGCTGCATCCTTGTCGTTGTTTCAACAAAACAGATTTCTGCGAGTACATACATGCCACTTTTTTGCCGGAAAATCACTCCAGAATGGCTGGATGATAGAGAGCGTCCCCGGATGACTCTCAAGAGTTGGCAACTGAGAACCCACCCTACCTTGCGACTACGTTCCTTGTCCTTCATAGGATAAGTGAGAATCGCTGCTGAGACTGTTCCATTGCAGATCAACATGGTCAAGGTCCCCATTATCAAGAAGCGCACGAAGCCTTTCAAGTTCGTCTCATAACTAGGTACACTCGCATGCACAGGCTGATTGATGCGGAATGCAGGCGTCACCAGTCCGATCGTTACAAGAGTGTGAAGGAGGCATGGCGGAAACCTAAGGGTATCGACAACAGGGTGCGGCGTCGATTCAAGGGACAGCTTCCTATGCCCAAGGTACGTTCTCCCAAGGACTGCGGCAACCATGATCTGAATAATCTCATAGATTGGATATGGAAGCAACAAAAAGGTGTGATACCTTGCTTCATCTATTCCATAGAACAGGTTTATGGACGAGTACATGCAGACACGGCACCTTCTTCCCAACGGCCTGAAGAAATTTTTGGTTAGCAACGTACGAGAAGTCGACCTTCTCCTCATGCACAACAAAAGCTTTGCCGCCGAAATCGCGCATAACGTTAGCAGCCGAAACCGCATAGCAATCATTGAGAGGTGTGTGCTGATTCTAATCGCACTAATGCCAGTTTTAATGGAAATTCTAATAGGGCTAAGGTGCTGGGCGTGAAGATCACGAACTCGGCTGCTCGCCTACGGTCAGAAGAGTAAATGACGATCCATCCAGTTTGTCTCGTTTGTCATTTCGCATATTTCGTCATGTACTTTCCATTATGCCTGCAATAAGCAACATGCGATCATGTCAAGGCAAGGTGCTGCTCTCGAATGAATTCCGACGCGAATGAAGCGTGCTATTTCACCGATAGCTGGATCCACTGCTATCTGCGACGAGCTGCATGCGCCATTTGACTCAGCTACTGCAAATGACGACTATGTCATGGGGTTCGGGGAATCGACGGTGTTTGAGAAAGCAGAGCCAGCTCAAATTTCTTCATCTCACTTGTTGGTTGGTGTTCCCACTGGCCCAAAGCAATCCATGCCAAACGTATAGATCCCTGATATCGTGGATCACGTGAGAACGTCTCTGATCGAGTGTACATCAAGCTGGCCCGCTGGGATCTTGGCGCACCCTGAACAGACTCTCCTTCCGTCCACCAACTGCAGAGCATCATGACCGCAAGGTGCGTACCCAGACTTTCACCCACGATACTTACATTTTCCATTGTCTCCAGACGTGCCACTCATGCAGGATCATGGTATGATGCGGACGGTTCGTGGCTTTTTAGTCACTATCGCGTATCTGGGGGTTGTTTAGGACTTGATTGTAGGGGGAAAACTCGATACAGAGCTATCCTCGAACCTCCAATCAGTAGAACCCTCGCTTGAGGAAGCGTTTGCCCCACCTGTCAAGGGATCCAAGGCGATAATCGCCCCGTACGCGCTCGATGTTTTCGCTTTTCAATGTCATTCTGAGCTCAAATAGCCATGCGGGTTATTCTTACTCTGGTTCGACAGCGGCATGGGCTTACAAAAGCATAGACACTGCGGGGATGTGAGTCGTGCCAAAAACTCTTCGCTACCGCCGCTCCAATTTTTGATTGAACAGTAAGCGCGTGTTCATCCTTGGACCTGCACATCATGTGTACCTCGATGGCTGCGCTCTCTCTACTTGCGAACGATATGAGACCCCATTAGGCACTCTGCCACTTGACCTTGACAGTGAGCATCTCACATCTCAGTGTATCACATGTATGCAGATCCTCACGATCTTCGGGCTGATTAGCTATCCAAGAATTGCGCGACACTGGGAAATTCAGCGATATGGATGTTGACACCGACGAAGACGAGCATAGCATTGAGATGCACCTTCCGTATGTTAGGAAAATATTCGAAGGGTAGCTGAGCGTCTCTCTTCACGCCCCAGCGGCATTAATATAAATCACATTAGATTGAATATCTCCATTGTTCCAATTCTCGTTGGGGCAATCAATTACAACAAGGAGGCGACATTTGGCACAATTCTCGCGCCCTACCTGGCAAGGGACGATACGTTCTGTGTCGTTTCTAGCGATTTCTGCCATTGGTGTGTACACCCAAACCCTATCGGAATATCTGTGACCTCTGTTTATGCAGGGGAACACGGTTCCAATATACTTTCTACTATCCAAAGGCCCCTCCGACTTCTATTCCCGCTATTCGGTTGTCGAAGGCCGATCCATCTCCACCCTCATTAACTACTCACCCAATCTACTCATCCATCTCGGCTCTAGACCACGAAGCTATGGAATTGCTGACGATGCCACCAAGCACTGCGGCACAATCTCATCATGAATTCGCTGAGTACCTCGCGAGGACAAAGAATACAATTTGTGGAAGGCATCCTATTGGTGTTCTGCTCGGTGCACTGGCAGTGCTTCAGAAACAAGGGAAAGTGCCCCATCTGAAGTGGGTTCGTTACGAACAGAGCAGCGAATGCGTTACGATCAAGGATTCAAGTGTCAGCTATGCCAGCGCATACATTACATTCTAGTCTGGCTGTAGATAGGAACCCTGGAGAGGACATTGGAGAGGACATTGGAGTTACATTCAAGAAACACAGAACCATTGTACATCTATTTTCTACATTTTTAACAAACGACAGCAAGGCCTTTTACCAATCGTATTCACATTCGCGCAGGAGGCTCACTCAGCAGATGTAATCCCACCGGCCAATCGGTTTCTTGGTCCGTTTCTCCTTGACCAGGATGTTCAATCACCTAGGACATCGAGTTGACACCTTCAGCATATAAAGTCGTGAACAATCCTTTGAAAATGACTTCACCCTTCCACCCGCTAATTCTACATCCTCAAAACCCCATTCTCTGGAGGCACCTTCTTTGAGGTGTGCTCCATCCACGAAGCGTCTTGCCTCCCATTCGCTCACAGCGGCAGAGGTACTTCGCTTTGGAACCAATTCCGTCAAGGAGCAGCATCCCACCCTCAAAATCATGTCTCTATCCCCCATTAGCTCCCGGACGAGTGCGATTATCGTCGCGGCATGACTGACGAGTAGAATTCGTTTGTGTTTATCACCAAATCTGTGCTCGATTTCTGGTATCAGTGCACTCAGCAGACCACGACAGCGATCGTGGCATTGCTCTATATCCTCGCCTTTGCGAGACGGATACCAGACAGAGGACCATGAGCTGTCGATCTCAGGAATATGTGCCCGCAGAACAGATGCGGATGAGGGTCGGGGATGCAGGCCCGTGCCAGGGACAACGGGAGAGTACCACTCTGATAAACCTGATAGGACACATTAATGGCATCTAGAGCAGCTAGCCTTTATGACGCACCGTGTTCCACGTAAATTGGGACCTGTAGAGCTACCGAAACTGGCTTAGAAGTCTGCAGACATCGGTCTAGATGACAATGTAAATTTCGAACGATATGCAGGGAGTAGAGATGAACACTGCAAATACGAACAATATGGCGACGAGAAGATTGCGGTGGGACGATCTTCATCTGGCAAAGACAGAAATAAATCCGCCAATTCTTGCGCCTGCGTCAATCCGAAGGAAGCGAGGGGCGGGTCGCGAGGAAGACCTTGCGGTCAGTGGCAGCATTATTCAAGTCGGTCTAAGAAGAGTTCATTGTCTATGAGTACCTGTCGGAGACTTCCTGTATTTTTCGAGATTCGGGCATGATTTCTACATAAATTAGGGAGTCCACGCACCAATCATGTGTGATCCAGTTCATTCGATAACCTGTCGCTCAATCCGTGAGTAGAGTGGTCCCTGCAGAACATTAGCATGAGTCATTCATCCATACCGTGCCTGGCTATGAAAATTGTCTCTATCATGGTTGAAGGTGAATCATGGACCAAGGAACCGGGTACTAGTAGGAACCAGCTACATATATGCCGTGACACCTGCGTACATAATGATATTGGCACCCGGGGTTGCCTCGCCTCAGACACGTTGCCACAATACTGGCTGGATATGTGGGGATGCACTGGCATCATGCCTAGTGTGCAGTACACATGGTAGACAAGACATAAAGGACATGAGTATTATTTCTCAGACGCGGACTGTCAGACATATACACAAACACTAGTGATAGTAGACCATATGAGATAAGGTAACATCATGTCATAGACTTCATGTGAGTCGATCGTGTCAGTGTACGAGGGCCAGTGAGACAAATACAGAAGGAAACAGGAAAAGCAGGGCACACACAACAGACAGAGACGAGACGCAGAAATATATGCGATTCATGGGAAGATGGAAAGTGGAAACCAGACTACACGCGTGAGCCTGAGAGATACCCCCAGTGTGTTTGATTTAATGACAATTTTTGGAGATGCCGCTGGACTTCAAAGCGAGACATTGTGCAAACGTACAACCAGTGGCGTGAGGTGTTGAGCTTAGGCTAGGGAAGGGAATGCAGTTTGATCGTCGACATCAACAACGGGAGTAGCACTTCCATTTCCGTTGGCTCTGCCTCTGCCGCTGCCGCGACCGCGACCGCGAGCACGACCATCTCCTCTGTCTCCTCCACGGCCACCACGACCGCCTCGAGCAGGACGTTCGAAACGGGCATCGATCTCAAGGAAGATTTTCTCGTCTTTCTTGGCACGGGACTTCGGAGCAGCAGCCTTTGTCTGTAGATCGATGAGCAAGATATCACAATCTCTCTAGGAGAAAACTTACTTTGCCAACGAAGTAGGCACCCTCATCTTCGTCCTTCTTGGTAACGACGACGGCATCCTTCCAGATAGTGTCGTCACCCTCGTTCGGCTTACGAGTCTCCAGCTTTGGCACAAGCTCGAGTTCCTTCTCCTTCTGCCGCTTCAAATATTCGTCGAGTGTGAGAGTATTATCCTCCTCTTCCGGCTCGCGGTCTCTGCCTCTCCTACCCTCGCGTTCCGATTTCTCGCCCTCAGGTGCCGCATCTTCTGCGGGTGGTGCCGACGCACCCCAATCGTCGACAGACGCAGCTGCAGCGCCCCAGCCGCTGGTATCTGCTGGTGGGTTGGTTGCCTCTACTGCAGCATCATTGGCAGCTGCGCTCTCTGCCTTGAGTTCTGCATCTCCCTCGTCAGCGCCCCAGCCCTGATTGACTTTCTTCTCGGAGTCGCTGAAAAACTTGTCAGACATCTCACATGAAGCTACAGGAGTTGGTGCATACAATTTGCCGGTCTGGCTGTGCCTATCGAAGGGACGTCCTCGTCCTCGACCGCGTTCACCGCGGCCCCTACCACGACCGCGACCGCGACCACGACCCTCGCCGTCAACTAACAAAGCGGAAAAATACATTGCGCGCATTGGAATTAGGCAGCAACAAAGCGAACTTCATCAGAAGGTGGGCGAAAATCCCTTTAGCACATCTACTCACACCTCTTAGGGGCCTCTCCTTCAGTGGTTTCCTCGGCAGCCTCTTGGGCCTCTCTTACCCCGCTCTTACCTCCTCTTTGATAGTATCTTCCGCCTCTTGAAGCAGGCCCCGTTTTGCCCTTCTGAGCTCCGCGCGCAGCGGTCGAAGCGGGTGCAGCATCTTTTGGGGGTGCAGGGGCAGAAGTAGGAGTAGAGGGCCGTGAGGCATCCTCATCTGAACACATGGGAAATAAAAAAGAATTTAGCGACACAAATTACAAGTTCGTGGATGACATAGCATAGTCAGGAAGGAAAATGGGGTATATGAGGAGATCCGATGATCACTGCTACAACACTGACCTTCCAGGAGAGCAAAGGGATTTCTGCTGGCCACCGACATTGTTGACGGGGCCTTTTCGGTCAATCAGCAGGTGGGGATCCCTGGACGGCGTGCAGAGTGTCGAGCAGACTGGTGGGCGCTGCTAAAAGCGAGTGGATTGGGCTATGACCTTGGCAGAGACCCCGAACGGTGCTCCCGGGTCCCTCCTCAGCCACTGTACAGTTCATCGGGTGGCATATAAGGCCGCTGCTTTCCGTTCAGACGTCCTAACGCTTATAACACAGGTCAGTGCTTTTTATGTGCGTAGCGGCTGCGTCTCGTGCTGACTTTACCTATACAGCTCTCAAAAGCATCTCAACTACGACTCGCCCGCCTTCATGGACTGGAGTGGGTCGAGGACATTGAGACCGTCATAAAGGGCTGGAGATGGAGAAGGCCGCGAGGTTGTGAACGATGGGACTTGGGTGCGGCGCGCTTGTGCTTCAATGATGAGGCTTTTGCCTCAGCAGTTGGCTCTTCGTGGTCGCTGTATGAGCTGTGTCGCAATGTCTCGTTGTACAGTGATAAAATTTGCTTGCAATTGTATTTACTACTAAGGTTGTGCAGAGTGCTCTTGAGCTGTTACCTTGCTCTTACAATCGTGGTCTATTGTCGTCTTGTCTCACTGCTGCGTGGCACGGACGGCGTAGAAGGTCTGTCTCCGCATCCTGGACCTTAGGCGAGGCTTGTGACCCTCCGAATTCGATGCCCGGGGATCGTGACCTGACGGCGCGGCGCCTCTGCCCACTAGCAAGATTCCCTCGGGTCGTCGACCTCAAGATACTTATATCCTTGTGCTGGCTCCTCTGTTTCAAGGGCAACTTATGGCTGCTCGCAGGCTCGCCATATCTTCTCTGCTATGTGCCGACGATGATGTCTCCGATCCTCCAGTCCCGCTGCCGAGCGCTTCCCGTTCATCTCTCTCGCCATCTGACGTCCGGACGAGCTTCACTGAGGAGACCGATGCCCAGCCCAGTGAACTACAGCCATTTACGATCCACGACAGCCTAGGACACACTGATGGAGAATCTCTACTATCACCTGCATCCACCGGCCTGGATCGTGTGCCACTGTCTCTCCAGCCCGTTCAGCTAAGGAGACATACACCATCCCCCACATTAGACAGCGAGACATCGGGCTCTCCAATGGCAGCGGGTGTGATGTACTGCCTTACGCCCCGCAGTTCAGGAGACATTCGTGACCAGGCCGACTCTAAGCGCAATCGCTCTGAATATACCGGCTCCAGTGGCCGGCACCAGCAGCCAGATTTGTGGCAAGATCGACATGCTACCCGGCTAACCGACGCGCATGTTCAGCCTCTTTCCCCTCCCATCATCAGGCCATCTTCGTCTCGCAGTGCGCATTCAGATCTACTCAACGTCTCCCACTCCCGCTCTCAGCCATTTTCGTACGTTCTGCCGTCCCACTCTCCTTCTCGCTCCCCAGCCTCAGCATACAGCCTGCCTTTCTCACAGAGACAACCGTCAGTTTCTCCCACTTTATCTATTCGTCCCATTACTGCGTCCCCTGTCAACTATTTGCGTCCTGCAGCTCCTCTACGGGCCTCTTTCGATAGCTCACAACATAGTCCTGAGTCAATATCTTCACATCAACCAGGTCCAACAAGTCCTTCATCGCCATATATTCCAACCTCCATGTCACGTTTGCTTCCACAATCCCATCTTGTAGAAAGCCGATCTGATCCAAATACCGCAACGCGTACTGTGTCGGCACCATCGCTTGCGCATATGTTGAATCCTTCTCCTGGGCATGCACGGTCTGGTGTCGGCTTGGGAGGGCTAGAAGCACTTGCGCAAGTTGCTTCAGAGGAGCGGAGAAGACTCAGTGGAGAATTACCAAGAGCTAGCGATTCTGCAAAGAGCTTCAGTCCGCGATTGAGTAAGAGCCCTGTTGTGGAAAGGAGCCCTATCGTGGGACGGAGCCCTGTTATGGAACGGAGCCCTATTGTGGAACGGAATCCTGTCGTGGAACGGAACCCTGTCGTGGAACGGAGCCCTGTCGTGGAACGGAGCCCTGTTGTGGAAAGGAGCCCCGCCGTGGAACGAAACAACTCTCACTCGGATTTTGTGCAGCTATCGTTGGTGAAGTCGGCGTCCCCAGTAAGCACGCTTAGTCCCACTCCCCCGCATCTGTTGTATTCTTCCTCGTTTCACGACACTGTGGTTTCTATTCCCAATGCATTCAGTCCAGATGAAGCGCATCCCCGGAAGAGACGCAAAGTCTCCGGAGAACGACCCTTAAATATCTTGCAGGACGGCGAATCGACCAGTCCTCAGGTCCATGCTGAGCCGAATGCCATGGCTGTGTCTAGTTTACTACGGACGGATGACGAGCATATGGGATACCCAGGCTTCAGTGGATATGACGGGACTACAGCTTCGCAACCAACGTCTCCTGCCATTGATTTTCCGAATCTCAATGCCACTTCACTGCCCTCTGATCACAGCCCTCCAAATCACTATGCTGAGAGCGAATCACCTTTCCAAGAAAGTCCGCGGACCAGTGATGATCAGCCCGACGACAACCACCATTTGATAAAACAAGAGCAAGTAGAGTTCGTAGCATCAGAAGAGTCAACAGCAAAGGACGGTGTCGATGTGACGAAAGGAAATACGAGTATGGGGCCAGCGGAAGATGAGACCATACAAGCACAAGATCCTCACGAGTGGCTGCTTGAACATTACACCGCTTCTCGAGCGCCATCTCTTGTCAAGGAAAGCATCGATGAGAGCTCGTCGTCTCATGCTCTCCACTCTCCGCCTCCAAGCAGTGAGACAACACATGATCCTCCCCTACCAGACGGTCCAACACATACTTTAGACCGAAATGGGGAAAACCCTCCCATCGGGAAGGACCTGACAAGGATCCCGACGCCTCTGTCTTTGCTAGAACAGGATCTCGATAATACCACCACCAAAGGTAATGCAAAAATCGTAGGCGGTATTGATGTGGAACCTAGTTTGATAGTGGCTAGTGTCTCTGGGGTCAATGGAGAAGACACGTCGGAATTCGATGTCGACGATGAACTTCTCAGCCTTGTAGATGATAGATCTGACAGGTCTCATAACTCTCGTCATAAGCATCATTCGGCTTCTCGACCTGGGGATACGCGGCGCCGGATTGAACAGCCTCAACCGGATTCCCATCCCTTACAATCGCCCACAGACTCCATTACAAATGCCATTAATGTCCGAATGTCCATGCCACCACCTCTCTCACCTGTCAAGGACATCACAAAGAACGCTCCTGTGAAGCTCCCCGATAATGCGACCGCTTCGTCTAGTCATAAAAAGAAAGATACAGCGACCAAGGTACGGTGGCTTCAGCTACTTTACCGTTGATGTTTGATGTTGAATCGTCTTGTCAGCCCGTACCAAAGACGAAGATGCCTCCAAAGCTGAAGGCAAAAACAGCTGGGAAGGCTAAAGAGAAACCCAATAAAGAATCCATCGTGTTGTCGGCTCAGTCCGTGCCTCGTAGTCATAGTATCTCCGCGTCCGGCAGCTCCACGAAGGGCAAGAAAGCTTCAACCTTAGCCAGTGTTGCTCCTTTAAGCGTCAAACGAGCAGCTTCGGCCACAGCAGGGTCATCTCGATCTCGCTCAGCTTCTGTAATGCCTAGTAATGCTATTGGACCCGAGCATGATGAAAAGGAAACGGTGGAAGGAGCTACAGAAACTAATGCCAGGGACGAGGACCAAGATGACAAGTTGTACTGTATTTGTAAGACTAGCTATGACGAGGATCGAGTTATGATTGCATGCGATAGGTCGGTGCATTATAGCTTGTACATTGGATAGCAAGCTCATGTTCGCCTTTGCTTATCCCAGGTGTGATGAGTGGTATCACACGCATTGTGTGAACATGCCAGATCTCGAAGTAGATCTTGTTGATCAATTTATATGTCCGACGTGCATCGAAAGTACGCACAATGAACTCGCCTTCTAAGTTAGATCTTGACGTCTTTGTCCTATGCAAGATAGCCCGCACTTGCAACTCAAGACCACCTACAAGCAACGGTGCTTTTCTGGTATCAAGCACCCCGATCCATCGTCGCCCAGTGCTTGCCACAAGCCTGCGCGTGGTGGATTCTCGAAATACTGCTCAGACGAATGCGGTATTCGCTACGTACAGTCACGCATTGTGGCCTGGGGTGGCAACCAGGAGAATCTGTGGGAAAGTGTCAAGGACGCCAGGAAGCGAGAGGGTGTCGTCATTCGCGTTTATCACAGTTCCCCTGCCATTGACGACGCTAGTCCAATGGTTTCTCAGCCAGCACAAACAGATCCACGCCACGAAGTCGTACATTTAGCGAAAACCAAAGCTCAACAAGAAATGGCGCTTTTGACTATCCAGCTCGATGGGATCACTCGAAGACGAGATGAATTAAAGACGGAGCTGGAATTTGTCCTGTGGCGAGAAAAATTGATCGAACTGGCAGCTGCACGGGCGGATGATGTTGATGAATGTGGATGGGACCAAAGACTCTGCTTTGGTGAGGAGGAATACGCTGAGTTCGGCGTTGATGTCTTGGAAAGCTACCAGGAAGTCAAACAAAGCGATGATGAAACGGGTGTGGACGCCATAAACCATGACAGTGGTGAATGGTGGTGTAAGGGGAAAAGAAAGTGCGATCGCCATTCTGGGTGCGCTACTACTTTCATTCCCTTGCTTCTCTTTTGCTAATATGGACCAATACTTTCAATAATTTTGCAGGTGGCAGAAGTTGCGGTCTGCAGAAGTTGATTTTGAGAAAGAGACTGTGGAGACCGCGCTTCTGGCACTCACAACGGAAGAACGTGAGATCCGAAAGAATATTGAAGATGTCATGGAGTCAAAAGCTCGAGCTACAATAAACAACACTAGTCTGAGCTCACCCTTACAGCCACTGAATGGAAAGACTCCTGGTGTTGCCAATGGCGTTGATAAGACAAAGACTCGCGAAGATGTTGGCAAGAAAGGCAAGAAGAAGAAGACACAAACTTAATGTATAATTGCAACCCCCTCTCATTCTTAACATGAATATAATGCACTTGAAGAAGTAACTTCTGGTCATGAGGCGTGGCTCTCGGTAGTTACAGTAGAATGCCAACCATGCGTAAGCAGAAAACAGACGGAATCGTGAGGTGAGGACAGCTCTTGGCGTAATGAATCTGCCAAATTATGAGCCTGCCTACCATGTATGCTGGGTTCATGGAGAGCATTAATCAATAACCGTCTCCTTCTCCGCCCTCTTTGCAGAACCCTTTCTGCTCATAGAGAACCTGCGCTTTGGATTCTTCTCGCTTCTTCTTGGCCAATATTTCTTGTGAATGATACGGTTCTAATTCGTCCCAAGCAACCTGACGAAGAGGGACGTCGTCTTCCTGGTCCAAATCCTAGGTAATCGCATTAGGACACCAATCACGCCAAACGGTACAGAACGCGCACAACTTCACCGAGCAAAACAACGTTTTCGCCACGAATCAGAAATAATCCTCGCCAGACTTCGGCGAAGACGTCTTGACAGAAGATGCGCTCGACTGTATCTTCCAAGACGAGATTCGCTGGAATAATTGTTGGAGATCGCATATAGCAATTGGAACAACTCCAAGACGCACCAAACTGGTCATACGATCTCAACACGCCTTGCAATTTCCTGCCATCTCGGAGGACTACTAGCATCTTTCCTGATCCAAGCCGGGAGAAACGCGCCGAGCAACAGTATCATGGACTCAGGATGGACGGTCGAACCTTGAGTTGACTTGGGACAGACGTACTGTCGACGCAATCCACAAGCGAGCCTGATGTTGTGAAAGGGATTAAGGAGTCCATACAGTGTTTAAGCTGCACTAGGCAGCGAGGTGTCGGGAAACGTTTGCAGTAAACTGTAATACAGGGCGAACCAAATGCAAAACGTAGGGTTTGCTGTCCAAGCAAACAGTAAAAAGCAGAGGAACGGGTCAGAAATATGGCGGAGGCCATGATTAGCAAGCTGATATGGCCGAGTCGTTAAGGCGAGTGATTTGAATGTCTCATTATCACTTGGGCATTGCCCGCGTAGGTTCAAATCCTGCTGTCAGCGTTCCTTTTTTTTCTTGTGCTTTCTATTCTGCTCGGACACCATGAACATGCAGACTGTCTACATATACATAGCGTCATACCCGTGTAGCTAATGCAGCTGCAGCTTTCATTTTTTTTGTATGAATTATAAATTTTCTCATTCGTTTGTATCAATATTACTTGATCCTAAATAGCTTTAGCAGAGGCCCGGGTGGCTCTGTCACGGATGCACGATTTCAATCAAAGGTGTTCTAAACGCACACGAGATCGAATGGGCATCATGCAACTTCAATTCTTCAGGTACATCTCAGCAGCATTGAATTAATGAACAAAGTCAAACAGATGATGATGGATGGACGTGTCATGGAACACAGGCGATAAATCTAGAGCTGAACGAAACCTCATGAAGCCGTCGCTGCCTTGCCAAAATATTGCCATTGTCCAGGCTCTGGCTTTTCCACCAAGGGCTCCCACCTGTACGACGCATGGAACGATGAGATATATACCAACAATTGCATACAAACTGTAGACGTACGCCTTCCACTCGATCATCTTTGAGACCAGGCTCAGCTCATCCGTAGCGATGTCAATCGACTCCTCTATGTGACCCTCGTCCAATTGCTTCTCGACCTCCTCGATGCTCCCGTCGGAATTCTGCACAATCTGCAGCTTCCGCTGAGTAAGTGCCTCTACCCCTTGCCGATATATAGATGTCTCGGGAATAGAAGAGAGTTGGGTCAGAGTAGACTGGTAGATTCTCGTCAACTCGGGTAATGGATCATGGTGAACGCTGAGGCCAGTGATGCCTGTTGTGGTTTTGCGAAACTGGCTGAACAGAGGGCGTGTAAGGCGCAACATGGTTGGTGACAACGAGAATCCGGGCTGTCGGGTCACGTCGCCCATCCAACGCCGGAAAAGGCAAGCGAGCGAACTTGTCGTTTCTCGCCGTCTCGTACCTCAAACAACGACTATGGCCGCCCTAGCATTACAGCAGACACGGTCACTTCTACCGATGTTCAGGCCGTTATCATCCTACTCGTTTTTCTCCCTTGCCGGATTAGCTCCCTCCTTTGTATCTGCGCCCCGTCCCTTTGGCTGGACACTTCCGTCACTGAGTTCGTTGCTGGAGCTATTCCCTCCTTTTCTACTTGCCGTGCCCAAGAAGAAGACCTCGCATTCTCGAAAAGCCATGCGCAGTGCTAACAAAGGGCTTAAAGACAAGCAAAGTGAGCTTTGTACCTCCATGTCTGGTTGTACTGTCTCATGGCTACCTAGATTTAGTACACTGCCCGGGTTGCGGGTCACCGAAGCTTGCGCATCATCTTTGCCCGCATTGTTATTCAAGTTTGAACAGGATTTGGAAAGCAAAAGCGAAGGAAACCAGTCATATATTATAGTCTCTGAACTGGCTGGCTGCAGATCAAGACGTGGGGGTAGGTGTTATTGGGCAGATGTCAGAGCGTCTTTACTCAAATATTCCCGGCCATCCCAGTGCGTCCTCTGAAGGTCGAATCTGTACAGCCCGCAGCATTGAATGTTCGAGGTCTGGCTTGGATCATTGAGAGCCATTGCCTTGGCGGCTGGCGAGAAGACTAGGCGTCTGCATCTTACATATCCACATTAATGCATGTCATGCAGCGCGTTTCATTGTCGAAATGCCATTGTGTTCCGTCTCTTGTAACTTATATAAAAAAAAGGTACAAAAGTAGACTTGGAATTAGACAGATGATTATATTTGCAATTGCGGGCCCCGAGTGTCGGGTGGTGGTCATGGGTCCGTCGGCTACCCCGATGAACCCGAAACAACTTGCTATGTCGTGTGGGGATGTCGCACCCAATTTGGGCTACGGCGGGCAGGTATATATGCTGCCAGGACGCACTGTGCTCTCAGTCAGCACTTCATCATGTTTTCTGTGGGCGTGCGACGGGGGGTCACCCCTCTGGCCCGTTCGATGGCCACACACGCCCGCGTCTCCACCATCTTGGAAAAGAAGCCAGAAGACGTAGTCATCACGTTTGCCAAGCGCACACCTCTCGGTCGGGCAAAGAAAGGGCAGCTCAAAGACTTCCCGGCCGACGAGCTTATGCGCGCACTCATAGCGGTAATTACTCTTTGTCTTGTCTAAAGAAACTGGAACCCATGGTAGCCTGTTAGGCGACACTCGACAAGACCAAGTTGGATCCTGCAAAGATTGATGATATTTGTGTAGGTGGGTGACCTATTTTCCATTTTGAAGCAAACAAGATTGAATGTGGCGCTGCAGGAACTTGTCACCCGCCATCACCCGCATACATTTCTCGTGCAGCAGCGCTCGCGGCAGGTGTACCAGCGAGTGTACCCGTTTCTACTGTGAACCGACTATGTGGTTCTGGTCTACAAGCTATCAGAGCGATTGCCACTGCCGTTGAAAGCCGACAAATGACTCTCGGCATGGCCATCGGTGTGGAGAGTATGTCCCAGAAGTGAGTAATCGATTCCTACCACTGCAGGATCACGCATGGATCGAGAATTTTAGTCCGCGGCCTACGCCTGAGATCGTGGATGCGGTGGATGCCAATCCACAGGCTCACGACTGTGTTCAGGTACGTATTTCTGAATTATATACTCACTGTGCTAGGTTTGACCTCGCTGTTCGACTTAGCCTATGGGATGGACTTCAGAGATGGTTGCGCAGGTATATAATATTTCCAGAGCCAAGCAAGATGAATATGCGTTCATATCACATTCCAGAGCAGAGAAGGTGTGTCTAACTGTTGTGACGTATGAATTCATGAAATTGACATGTAGTAGGCTACCGCATCTGGGATATTCTCTGAAGAGATTGCCCCTATTGAAATACGAGGTACTGTGATCTCCACCGATGATACTGTGCGAATGGGCACAACTGCGGAGGGCCTTGCTAAGTTGAAGCCGTCGTTCCCCAACTGGGGAGAGTCGTCTACAACTGCTGGAAATGCCAGTGGCTTGGGCGATGGGGCCGCACTGTGCATTATGACTACCCGTGCCAATGCGGAGAAAGAGGGCCTCGAGATTCTTGGTAAATATGTGACGAGTAGTTTCGTGGGTGGGTGAAAATTGTGCGTTTTGTTCTGCTCGCTACTGACGTCCTCAGGTGTGGAGCCACGGTATATGGGCATTGCTCCCGTTGTAGCCATCCCGCAAGTCCTGGCTCAGGCCGGGCTCTCCAAAGAAGACGTTGACGTATTTGAGGTGAGCTTACCCTCACTGGTGGTCTGAACGCCCTTAATTCGTGCAGATCAATGAGGCATTCGCGTCGCAATTTGCCTACTGTGTTGAGCAACTGGATGTCCCTATTGCCAAGATCAATCCAAAGTACGCTAGCGACCCATTTGCATTGTTATGCCTGCTGACGTATTCGCCCTTGCCGTACAGTGGAGGATCAATTGCTTTGACACACCCTCTCGGAATGAGTGAGTCGCGCCAAATAGTCTGTAATTATGTTCTCAATGTTGTTGATTTCGTTTAGCTGGCGCGCGCCAAGTGGTGACTGGACTGGCAGAATTGCGCCGTCGCGGCGGTGCCATATTGTGCACAAGCATGTGTATAGGCAGCGGCATGGGTGGAGCGGGCATTTTTGTCAATGAGCTTCGCTGAAAGCGTTTCGTCAACATTCTGCCATCAGCCTGCTAGTTGATAAAGCTCTAGTCATACAATACGCAGTAATGTAGATTCACATTTCAGGACTGCGCACTGCACACCCGCGCTACTCGTATTGGCATGAGCAAGGAGAAAATTTGTCCAAATCTGCGTCCCGGACGGTCGAATGAGCGCATAGCGAACTCAGCAGCAGCCGCGTTGGGGGCAGTCTCTTGCGTTCTAACGCTCATCTTCAGTCACCGCACTTTCAGTTTTCACATTTAACCATGTTCCCCAGCTGCAGTTCATCATAGTATTCCCTACGGTATCTGAATTATATCACTGTGATACTTGGTTGACTCTGTGTTACAGTTTTATAAACGCCTTCCCACTCCCTCTGAACGTCCTCGTAAGTGACATCCTTGTTTGTATTCTTCTGGTCATGGTCCCCTCTAGACGATGTCTATAGGGTCTGTGACCATCAAATCAAAGTGATTAACGAAGAACGGGATTTATGTATATGCACGACTAGCAGACAGCAGTAAGATAAAGGTTAAATTTCTAATTTCGTACTCACTTGGACGCTCCTTGTCAGCGAACATATTCTACAAAGTATTCTACAAAGTATACGATGAATCGCGGGACATGTTTTGGATACCAGAAAGCTCATATGACTAGGCATGCGAGGCCAGACGACATGGACCGGATGGGTCGGCGTCGTGATTGAGCTGAGGATCGGGTGCCACATGTAAGCTCTCGCCATAAGATATATATTAGTTAGAGTTGAATCCTGGCTCTGGTCAAAAGAGTATAAATCTTTATAATACGCACTTTAGAATCGGATAGGTGTTCTGCAAATGGAAGAACTGTTCAAATGCCTACCGTGGGCCAGCCTACAAATGCTGCATTGCTTGGCCATTCTTTTTCTTTACCTCTTTCAAGCAAATCTATGAAATTTGTATCAATGAATGTTTCGTGTATGGCAATCTTGTCACGGACCTTGCACTATGTTAGTCTTCATGTTAATTTTTACGTATTGACAAATATACTGAGTCCAAGAAGCAGGGCTGGATCCTGCGATTTCAAATGAAGGAATTCAGCAAAAGTTTGGAAAAACACATTTTACCGGCACCCTTTTATGGAAACATCGAATCTTTCGTCATAGATTCCTTCACAGCAGAGCCAGTCACGAAGCTGGGTGCCTTGTTGCTCTTTTTGCACTCACTTTGCGGGTGGTGAAGTCACAAGCCCTAGTCGCCCTCAGGCGCCCATGTCCGACGACCCAGTGGCATCCGGATCGCATTCCACACATCTTATTTAATCGGCCGGGTGTGTGACTGAAGGACGATCACAAATTAGGGGACCATTGATGTCACATCGTGACAAATCGGGCTCGATGTCACACACTGCGAACGGCTCAGACTGCTCGCCAACGTCAACAAACCGTTGTCAAGAATCGACATCCCCCGCCTTTGTCCTCCCTCAAGGTCAGTGTTCTGCGCATTTGACCCCTATCACAGATGTAGGCCGTCATCTTAGCAAAATTTGTGGAATAATGCGCTGGATGCTTGCATCATGGCCTGGATGACGGCAATTTCAGAGCAGGCGTTGACTTCTGCTATCCTATAGCCCCGTTCGTTCAAAATGACCTCTCAGATCAGCAAAAAGCGCAAGTTCGTTGCAGACGGTGTTTTCCGCGCGGAGCTAAATGATTTCTTCACCCGTGAGTTGTCGGAGGAGGGCTACTCTGGCTGTGATGTCCGGGTAACGCACGCCCGTACTGAGGTATGTCCCCAAGTACTGCCATCCAATTCAATGCAGCTGAGTCACGGACTATTGGTTAGATTATCATTCGTGCCACCCACACCCAGGAAGTTCTGGGTGAGAAGGGTCGCCGCATCCGTGAGCTTACTGCCCTTGTGCAGAAGCGTTTCAAGTTCCCGGAGAACTCTCTGGAACTTTATGCGGAGAAGGTCCAGTCTCGTGGGCTTTCTGCTATCGCGCAGTGCGAGAGTTTGAGGTACAAACTCCTTGGCGGCCTCGCCGTCCGGAGGTAAGTCGCACCAACTGCTGAAATCTATAGATGTACTAAGATCAGCCCAGGGCTTGCTATGGTGTTCTTCGATTCGTTATGGAGTCCAATGCGAAGGGTTGCGAGGTTGTTGTCTCTGGCAAGCTCCGTGCCGCTCGTGCCAAATCGATGAAGTTCACCGACGGGTTCATGATCCACTCTGGTCAGCCCGCAGTGGACTTTGTTGATTATGCTGTCAGGCACGTTATGCTGAGGCAGGGTGTACTCGGCATCAAAGTTAAAATGTATGTTATCTGCATTGTATACTGTATGCACTTTTTTTCTAATCCTCCTGTAGCATGAAGGGCACCGACCCTGATGGTCAGTCCGGACCCCGCAAGCCGCTTCCCGATTCCGTTCAGATCCTCGAGCCTCCTCTTGATAAGATCGTTGCGGAACCAACGTCGGAGCAGCGTGAACCAGCTGTCGTTGCCCCTCCTGCACCACCTGCGGAGGAGCCTGCTTACCCGCCTCAGGACACGTTCCAGCAGGCGTACGACCAGCCTGCTGCTTTCTAATGTGTAACAGTGACCTTCTGTATATCCATATTTTGGCGTATTGATGACATTGCGTGCTGTCATGCATTCATGATCGAGAGACTATTAAAGAGATTAATTCAATTCGCTAGAGATGAGCGCCCCCCCCCCCCCGGC